TGAACTATATAGTTAGAGCCTGTCTCAAAAAAAAAAAGCTAGCCGGGGATTTAGCTCAGTGGTTTCACCGCCTGCTGCGAAAGCACAAGGGCCCGAGTTAGATCCCTGGTACAAAAAAAAAAAAAGCTAATCAACTGTGGTGGCACACACCTGTTATCCTATCACTCAGAAGACTGAGGCAGGAGGATTGCCAGGAATTCAAGGCCAGTCTTGTCTATGACCACGAGTTCAAGGCCAGCTTGAATTATAAAACAAGACTGTCTCAAAAAACAGCTGCGGGTGTAGCTCCGCTCAGTGGTTCTATTCCGGTACCGCGCGCGCGCGCACACACACACACACACACACACACACACACACGGCTGGGGATACAGCCCAGTGTGAAACCCCTACGTTCAGTCTCCAGTAATTCAAAGAAAAACAAAAGATAGCACCCATAAATAAGGCTCCTAGTGCAGTACTTGGCACTATAGACAATCAACCTAGGGCCATGATGGTGAACCTTTCAATGATACAAACTGCCTGCTGAAGCACGTGTGCCGTGCCATAGGTTCACCACCGCTGACCTCTGGTGACTGACGGTATTAGCTCTGCCAGGTTAGGGAGTCTGCTCTGTATGCAGCAAGCCCAGGGCGTTTGGAAGGACACTGAAGAATGGACGCCACTCCTCTTCCTGCTCCCGTCTCCGCTCTCCCCAACCACCCCTCCTGCTGGCCCGGTCCGGGCACCTCCTCTTACCCCTCCTCTCCCTGTCCTCCCTGTGCTCACAGGCCCAGAAGGATGCAGATGCCGTGGACAAGGTGATGAAGGAGCTAGACGAGAATGGAGACGGAGAGGTCGACTTCCAGGAGTACGTGGTGCTGGTGGCTGCTCTCACCGTGGCCTGTAGCAACTTCTTCTGGGAGAACAGCTGAGCAGGCAGCCCCAGGCAGCGCCGTGCCCTGAGCCCCAGCTGTGACTCCCCACACCTCCACTTCTGGCTGCCCCTCCACACACACCAAGGCTCAGGAGCAGCAGTGCAGCGCTGCTCATCTTCATTAAAGGCTGCTGTCGCCGGCCACGGGTGTTTGTCTCGTGGATCGGGAGTGGGTGGAGAAGCGCCGGCTGCGCACTCTACTCCTATTCGGAGAGAGTCCACGTGACTGCACCTTCCTACTTGGGAGAATGTGCAAAGTCGGAAACGTGGGCTCTAAGGGTCCAGCTAGAAACTGAAAAGACGTGGCCCGCGAGTGTAGCTCAGTGGCGCGCGCCTCGCTGGCAAGCGCAAGGTGCTGAGTTCCAGCTCTGTGCCAAAGAGAAAGAAAGAAATGGAAGGGACCTCAGCTGCTCAGCTCTAACACCGGAAGAAAGACTGCTTTCAACCTCGACCGGTGCTTACTGCGGTCCTGCATGTGCCAGACATCGTGTGGGAAGTGGGGTGCAGGGGCGTGCAGACAGGACGCGCCCTCCCCTGGGTAGGCGAGGAGGATTGCAGGGCCACCCCGATGCACGCGCCGGGGTCCCCACCGCTCCGGGCGGCGGGCGGAAGGGACCAGGCGTGCCCAGGCCAAGGTGGGTCGGGGGCCTTGGTCGGTGCGGGACCCGTCGGGGCCGCTACCGCGCGCCTCAGCTCACCCGCGCACGACCACTAGCGCGGCGACTGGGGAGGGCGAGGCGAGCCTTGCGTAAAGGTTTCTTTCATGGTAGCCGAGGGAACACGAACACTGTTTTCACTCTGACAAAGCCGCTCTCTGCGGCCTAAAGCACGAGCCCCGCAGGCTGCAACCCAAACCCGGCTGGAAAGCGAATCCCCACAGCGCCCCACCTGGGAGGCCACGGGCCACGCCCCTTGAGGGCGGGGCACCGCGTGGAAGCCCGACGGCTCCGCCTCTGACTTCTGCGCAGGCGCACTCATCTCGCGCCCCCTAGTTGCGCGCGCATCTGACGCCTGACGCGTGTGCGTCAACGCCATTTTAGCCGGTCCCGCTCCGCATTGGGCGCGGCGGCCATTTTGTTTTGGACCTCGAGCGGGAGTTGGCGGTGGAGCGCTGGTGTTACAGACGAAAGGCAGGAAAAGGCAGGCCGGGCGAGCAGGCTGATCGGCCGGCGACTAGCGAGCCAGCCCCCAGCGAGCGAGCCTCGCCATCTACCGCTTACGCTTCAGACCAACCGCCCATCTAGTCAACCCGAGCCCCTCCGTCGCCCGTCCGGGTTCGGCCGGTCCCCGGCCCGCCCGCCGCAGCCGCGGTGGCAGCCCCGGGAGGAGCTCTGGCGTCCGTCTCCTTCGGTGCGTCCCTGTGGGGCGGCCGCGGGCTGCCTCGGGGCCGGAGGGCGGGGCCGGGGAGGGGAGGGCCTCGGGAGGCTGGAGCGGGAGGGTCTGCCGAGGGCGGAGTGGCCGCACGCCCGCAGTGTCACCCCGGGAGGCAGGGGCCGGGGAGGCAGCTGGAGCCCACCTTGGGCACTTTAGCAACCTACCAAGACTCCACTTTTTTTCTGGTGTCGGGAATCGAACTCAGGGCCTCGCGCTTGCCCGGCGCGCGCCTGCCGCTGAGCTGCGTCCCTGGCCCTCAGCATTTAAAAAGGGCTGGGGCTCTGTTTCACTTTGAAGGCCCTGGGTTCAATCCCAGTACCTTTTTTTTTCAATGGTAAGGAGATTAAAGAAAGACTGCAGGAATAAGGACTAAAAGGTATAACATAATGCGAGATAGGAAGAAAAGGGACAGAGGGGAGGGGGAGGGGAAAGGAAAGAAGAGAATGGAATTAATAGAAAAGGAAAAAACGGAAACAGTCTCTGTAGATGGGGGGAGGGATGGAGGGGTTGAAGGGAGGGCAGGGGAAGGGGGAAAAATAAGAACCAAGATGGATTATGTAAAGGTGCAAATTTCCAGTGATGAATGTCTTATATTGTATACCTTAAGTGTACCAATATAATTAACGAAAAAAGAAAGATGACAGGACTTTCAGAGCCTTACGGTTATATTTTGAAGAGGGTTGTCCAAGAGCTTACTCTCTCCCCTAAATCCACAGTCCCTTGCCAGGGCTCCCCTACTGGGTTTGGAAATTAAATTCACGTTTAGAAGTGGGCTTGACTGTTCTCTAGATTCATGCCTCTCGAATTAAAACTACGCAGGAGAAGCATTGCAGAGGTTTTCGCTTTCCCTCCAATTGCTGGTCCCCAGACCTCACCTCCGAAGATTGCAGCTTGATTGTTCTGTGCCCAGGCATCTGTTAACCTTCCCTTGCTAAGTCATATTCAGCCAGAGTTGAAAAGGACAGCTCTAGGTTAAAAGCCAGCCTCTTACTTGACACCCATTTCTGCCCTTTGGAGAAGGACAGACGTTTTCTGTCCTGCAGCTTTGCAGTTTTAGTAATTAGAGGTAGCTGTCATATAAATTTAAAACCCTTGAAATGAATTTTGGTATGATCTTCAGAAAGGTGTGGGCCTTATTATTCATTGTTCATTTGAGCCTTTCCCCTTGTGGAAATGAAGTGGCTGTTATTCTCATTTGCTTATTCTGTTTATCCCTTGTAGATCCTCGGGATTTGAAGATGGCTGCCCAGTCAGCGCCGAAAGTTGTGCTAAAAAGCACCACCAAGATGTCTCTAAATGAGCGGTGAGGCAGCCAACAGCAACTTCAGCTCCTTCCTAAGAAAACATTACTTAAATTGGCCCTGGGGTCCAATGCACAAAAACCAGTTGTAAGCTAAATAGCAACAGAAGGCTACAGACCTCTGTTATTAGTTGCATCTCATGTGGTACACAAAACAAATTGGGCAGATGTTTCAAAACCCCTTATCAGTAGATTTTTATGTTAAGCTGTCGGCAGTGTTTGTTTGGTGGGATGTATTTTAAAAGGACTCCCGCACACCCTCCCTTTTCTTCAGTTTTTTTTACATTGATACAGGGGTGGTGCAGCATGGTAGTGTGGTATACCCCAGCTGCAGTTGGTTTGCTGCCCAGTCCAAGGCCAGCAGTGTTGTGTCTGGCCTGTAAGAGGCAGGTAGCAAGCTGTGAATATGTCCAAAGGCCCTTGAATGTCATTCTTGGGCCTTGTAAGAGGCACTTGCTTTGCTCCATTTCACTTTCTTTCCAGTTCTGCTTTTTAGTTTGTTTTTGTTTTGTATTCTTTTAACAGTTAAATGTTCTTCTCTTTCACTCCATTAAACTTAACTATGACAGGAATAGTAGAGGGACGTCTTCATAAGTCTCTCAATTACTGAACTGTACTAATTAACTTTCTTAGAATTACTCACTTGGAGTCAGAAAAAAAATGATTATTTGAGACTTTGAAAAATTAAGGTATTTTAAAAACACTTTCTAACCTTAGGTGCTGTGTTCGTTCAGTGCCTTTGGCCAATGATTTTATCAAGTTATAGTTAGAACTTTAAGATGCAGTGTCCATTTTTGCTTCTTCTGACATATATGTACTTCATATCTGTTAGGAAGTGTTGCTCTATATTCATATTACTGATACAGATTTATGCACGCCTATAATTTATACAGGTGTATTATTTCCACAGCCTTTGATGGTGTGCTGTTCCTTCCTCATATTTGCCCTCAGAATGAACCCTTGAGTCCCCCAAGGTTTAGGCTTTCTTCATTTGTCTCTGAAACGGCATCTTGTCTTTTGTCATATCTGCTTACTGCGTGTTTTTCATACTTTCCACCTGTCTAAGAGCTGTTACCTGAGCCCTTGTTATCGCTTTTGATTGAATGTGCTGCAGTTAGCTGCCTGCATCTCTTAAGTTTCTGACTCTTGCAAGTTTGTGGAAAAAGAGTCTAACCCACATCAGCCATGATCTAAATGTACCACTTTACTTAAAAGTACATGGGATCTGAAGCTCCTGGTCTAGCAAGCCATGAAAATGCCCATAAATGTTTTGTAATAAAGCTTTTGTTTAAACATCCATTTTGTTCGACCTTGAAGCTTTACTAATATGCTGAAGAACAAACAGCCGATGCCAGTGAATATTCGGGCTTCGATGCAGCAACAACAGCAGCTAGCCAGTGCCAGAAACAGAAGACTGGCCCAGCAGATGGAGAATAGACCCTCTGTCCAGGCAGCATTAAAACTTAAGCAGGTGAGAGAATGAGTCTTAATGTTCCTGGAGCAGCACTGAGGCTGTCAGGATGAAACGGATGATCTCTGGGCGGCTCAGGGCAAAAGCTGACACTTCTCTGACGGAGCAGTTCAGCAACTTCCACTTTTGGCAGACACTGCTAGGTAACTTCTTATTATTTCTCTGCTTCAGGGAGTTGACCATCCTGTGGCCTAGTTGTGTTATCAGTGAGGATTTATTTCTTGTTTTCTCATCCTTTACCCTTAAGTAGATTTGTTTTCTCCCTGACAAAGGGGCTTTGTTTGGGGCTAGGGAGTATAGCTCGCCCAGCATGTACAAGGCCCTGGGTTCCACCGTAGTACTGACAAAAAAGAAAGACTTTCTGCTTTAGATAAAACCTTCAAAGCACCCTTTACTCCCTGTTCAATGATTTGCAAACTAGAGAAACAGTTTTATTCTTCCCTGCATCAGGGAGTCATCAATGGCCTTAGTCAAAGATTTTCAGTGCTAAAACGTGAAGAGTGGCCCTCATTTCCACAGCATTTAAAGTATGGTAGAGCAAGAGTACTGAGTGATTGTTAGTGCGTTCTCTTTCAGTTTTCCAGTTAAAAAATCTTTCTGTTCAGACCTGAAATAAAACCTGCTCTTTGTTATTCATAGACTTTATATGCGAGTCCGGACAGTGGCTGTGGAAGGATATGTCCAAGCTGTGGCTGGGCGTCTGGAGGGCGGTGCCATGCAACTGTAAGGACTTTAACTGGTAGCACTGCATGGCTGTGCATAAATTCAGCAGTTAAATATAACACCCTCCCACCCCCACTCTGAACCATTAGGCTCACTGACCAAAAATAAACGAGGCTTTTGGCTTCAGCTACCTTAAGCCTTGGAGTGATTAGATTCATCCCTGACTCAGGAAAGCAGCAAACAAAAAGTACCACATTTTCCAAGACTAAATAAAAATTGCTGAAGTCTTGACATATTCCAAAGGATCTTTTAACAAGGAGCTTTACATGTAGGCTGTGTAGAAAATAGCATCTAGAGCAGTGCTTTGCAGCAGTTTCTGCAGTGATGGAAATGTTCTATATGTGCTGTCCAGCATAGTAGCCACTAGCCACATGTGGCTGGTAAGAACTGTAAGTGTAGGGCCAGGGATTTAGCTCAGTAGTTCCTCCACCTGCCTCACAAGCACAAGGTCCTGAGTTCAATCCCCGATACAAAAAAACCCCAAAAAACCAATAGCCACATGTGGCTGGTGACTACCTATGCAGCACGGTTCTGGAGTAGAAACTAGTTGGTATAGTTTGTATCGTTCAGTATCCTCGAAAGTAGGATTGGTACAGTGGGTATAGGGGTGGGAGAACTCAACACTGTACAGTTCTTCCCCAAAGCATACAGCTCAGGAAGATAAATATACTCAGGATAACTGAATATGAAGGACTTCTAGACTGTCCTGCCCCATAATTGTGTGCTAGGGGCTGGTAGCTCCATTGGGAGAGCACTTGCCTAGCATGCATGAGGACATGGATTCTAGTCCCAGCACTGAAGGAAAAACAAAATAGTAATTGTGTGCTGATGGGAAGAGTAACAAGACAGGCTTTTATGATTAGTTGCACCTGCCTGTGTTGGATAACATTCAGAATTTTTCCCTCTGATTAGTAACAGTTTGTGATCTTGAATTAGAAAGCTCATTATAGTACCACACAGCATCTTTTTGAGAGCTATCATTGATAGTCACTTAGGGGTGGAGCCAGAAGACACAATTTATATTTATTCATATTGACTGATAGCTTTATATAAATAAGTTTGCTAGGGCCAGGGATTTAGCTCTGGTTTCACCACCTGCTGCGCAAGTACAAGGACCCAAGTTTGATCCCCGGTACCAAAAAAAAAGATAAGTTTGCTAGGGCCTTGGTTGTGTCCAAGACTATACTGTCCCCTTTTTCCTTTGAAGAAATTTGTCTGAGATGTGATCTTGGTTGTTTCTCTGACGACTAGATTATTAGAAATCTTGTCCTCATATGTGGCTCACCTGTCTTAATTCTAACAAATTTAGCTGGCTGGCTGTGGAAGTATGTTTGAATTATTTTTTTTTTTAATAGGTTCTTTTTTAACTAAAGGTTATTAAACTGGTTTAAGGGACCTGTTTGCAAGGGTAGATGTGGTGGAATTAGGGATTATTAAGAAATATAAGGAAAGGAAGTTTGACTTTTTTATTTGCATCTTAAGGTAAAAAAATGGACCATCTGGAGATAGATACTCAAAGGAAAAATGGAGACACTGGCCTCTTTGACTGAAAAATCAATCTTGTTCTTAATCACGAGAATTGAAATGAGCTTGTACTTTAAATTTTGCCCAGAGAGTGATGAACTTCCTATGGTGTTTGAGTAAGCCTTTGAAGACAGTGGTAGTCCTTGGGCAGGTATGAATTCAGTCATGTCCTTGTCAACCTGTGGTTCAAAAATAGTATGTATACTAAAACCTAAGTCCCAACTTGCTGTATATCACTTCCATATCCAAATTATTGAGGTAATTACGGTAATGTCAAGTACATGGGACCTTACTGAAGCTTAGAATTTCTGCTCTGGATGAGAATTCTACTTTTAAGTCAAAATCAAGGAGTTCTGGTTTGGGACCCTTATGATATACCCTCAGCAGGTTTATTTCCCAACATACCAGGCATCTTACTTGCTTTTTTCTCTCCACACTTGGAATTGCCAGATCCCAGTGAATTGCTGTTTTGATCTCAATCCTCCAACACCTTTTCTTCCAGAAGAGCTTAAAGCAGCGCCTGGGTAAGAGTAACATCCAGGCACGGTTAGGCCGACCCATAGGGACCCTGGCCAGGGGAGCCATTGGAGGACGAGGCCTGCCCATAGTCCAGAGAGGCTTGCCCAGAGGAGGACTTCGAGGGGGACGTGCCACCAGAACCCTGCTCAGGGGCGGGGTGTCGCTCCGAGGTCAGTGCTGTGTGTCCCTGCTCACCGTTGGGCCCTGTCCCCTTCCCTTTTCTCTCGGGCTGCTGAGGGACACATTCGTTTAACATCTTTAGTTCTCAATTTGTATTAATATAATTAATAACTTGGAATCACATTTTTAGTAGTGCTGCATGTCTTTTACCAATACCATTCTGTTTCTGATAATGTTCAAGAGTTGAGAGGTTGTGATCTGGGTATCAACAGGTGATTCATGTCATCGCCATTCCATTTTAAAACACACTGCCGCTGCTTGTATCAAAGCACATCCAAGTCTAGAAATGAGTCTGAGAGATGTGTGATTAGTATGCATGTGGCCGAGATCAGTCCCCAGCACCAAAAAGAAAATGTGTAGGTCTTTTGGCCCATACTGAAACTGGTGCTACTGAAACACTGTTAATGTCTGGAAGAAAGGACAGGTTGGCCTGTAGCACCCACACGTATCTTCTATTTTGGGCACTGTTAAACTGTTTCCTGTGTAGCTCTTGTCCCCTACAAGAATGCTTTGAGAGCAGGAACCATAGCATGCATTTTTAAGTGTACCATAATACCAGGCATCTGATTATTCAGTAGTTATTTATTAAATGAGTGGACTTTACTCCCAGCTTCTTCTATAGATGAATTTGTGGTCCAAATTGTTGAATTGATTTGAATAAAGAGCAGCTTAATCTGTTTACACTCAGTGTGCAGCCTGCCCTGTCCAACCTAAAAATTAATTGAATTACTCTCATTTAACCCTCACTGCCTTCCTTTGGTTAGAATCTATTTTGTCTCTCTCGGATTTACCTGCATATACGTTGTATGCCTCCTCTCCAAGGTCAAAACCTGCTTCGAGGCGGACGAGCCGTAGCTCCCCGAATGGGCTTGAGAAGAGGTGGTGTTCGAGGTCGTGGAGGTCCTGGGAGAGGGGGCCTAGGGCGTGGAGCTATGGGTCGTGGCGGAATCGGTGGTAGAGGTTAGTCAGCTACCAACTTCAGAGAGTAGCTCCCCTATTTCCCCCCTTAAAACTAAGCCACCCTTCTGCACAGCTCTAAGTCACAGGCAGACTTGTTTGTTTGTCTTGTTTTGTTTTTTGAAACTGGCTTATTTTCTAACTTCACATGCTGGTTGTGGGAAAGATGACATAATTTTTCTAAGAATCAGTTGGGTACGTATTACAGAGCCATATTTTTATCTAGTCTTCCAGGCTGTTACAAATTTAAATTGTTAAAACGACAAAATGGTGAGTTAGGGATTTTGTCTTTTTCTATCTCTGCCCATCCCCACCACCACACACCCATCCTCTAGTAAAACCTTGTTTAAGTCAGATCAGAACAGCAAAGAGGGTCTGGGGGTGCAGCTTGGGTAGAGTGCCTGGTATGCTCAAGGCCCTTCAGTCCCCAGCACCACACAAAAAGAGCAGTTAGAAAGAGGGAGATGCACAAAGATGAACCAGACTAAAGAGGCCGATGTGATGATCTGCAGTAGAGTGTGCTCAGCATGCGGGGGCCCTTGGGTTCAGTCCCCAGCACTAGGGCAGGTGCAGAGGGGCGAGACTTGGAATTGGTCATCAGCTTTGAAACCGAGTAAATTCAGCATAAAATGTATGCCTCTGGGGGACCAGAGACAATTTTTGTGATCGAGGTAGAAAGTAAGATGGTTATTGTCAGTTAAATTTTTAACTGGCTCTTGTTAATAATCTTACCTTTGACACCTTGATATTTATCTTGACCTCATGACCCAGATTGGAAAAGAGTTCAGTGCTGGATTGTTAATGCCAAATGTCTTGGGAGCTTTAAGAGTTTAGTGAGAAACTCCCAACGCCACCTGTTGAGGGGAAATAAATTATTATAGCCCCTGTATATATCTGCTTCAGTACTTTTAAAGTGTGTGGTGGGTCTTTATAATTTACAACCCTGAACTTGCCAAGTAGTATTAGGAAACAGCATTTGATAACCAAGAGCTAGCTGGGCATGGTGGCACGCACCTGTCATCCCAGCACCCGAGACCCTGTCTCAAAAAAAACAAACAAGGATTTACTTTCTTCTCTCCCTTTAAATGCTACTTGGCATATTGAGTGGAATGTTTACTCGTTAGGTTTCAGAATGGAATAGAACCTTTCCAGCTTATCTTGCCTCGGTTTCTGAGCGACATCACAAGGGTGGGAAAGACTAAAGGAGCTTTCCAGAAAGCTGGATGTATTTTGTTAAGTGAACTGAAACTGCCTCTCAGATAACCACAGTTGTCCTAAGGTGACTAGACTCAGAAGTGGCTGGGACTACTCAGTGTTTTTCCCCCTCCCTACATTGTTCCTGTGACAGAATAACTCCTGTCTTCTGACACATGGAGTCACCTTGCTAGACTTAATAAGTTTAAGCAGAAATGAGATAACTTCCCAGAGTCTTCCACTAAAACTTGCTTTAGTTTTGAAAAGCATCTCCCTTCACACCCCTGATTCTGTGTGCCCTTTATTGCCTTCCTCTCTTACTCAATGGGTTATGAGTATTTTAATTAGGAATTCATAGGGGGGTCTCAAACTCTAGGGAGAGATTAATTTTTTCATTGTCAATTAATTATTTTCTCTGTTGATAGAATAAAAGATTTTAAATAGCATTCAGAGATGAGCATGTAATGAGGGATTCATTATGTGTGCTTTCCATGTGTTGCTTTCTGCCCAGTGTGCTTCTCGTTCTTCCAGACCTCCTCTTTGCCCTGCCCTTCAGCTTCTCTCAGCTAGGCCCCGCTGCTCTAAGGGGGCATTCCGTATAGCACCCCTTAACCCTCCTTGTAACTCTCTTTTTTCCCCCCTTGGGCCAGGTCGGGGTATGATAGGCCGGGGAAGAGGGGGCTTCGCAGGCCGAGGCCGAGGCCGTGGACGGGGAAGAGGTGCCCTTACTCGCCCGGCCCTGACCAAGGAGCAGCTGGACAACCAGTTGGATGCCTACATGTCAAAAACTAAAGGACACCTGGATGCGGAGTTGGATGCCTACATGGCACAGACAGACCCTGAAACCAATGATTGAAGCTTGCCTGCCCCCGAGAGACTCATTAAAGTTACCACATCTGTAAATAACCTTGGATGACAGATGAGAATGAGAAACCTGATTGATGCGAGAAGGACCTATCCTAACAGGCTGTGGACTTACCTGCCTCCAGTGTGCATTTGGTGTGTTCCTTTTACCCTTGACCCTTTTCCTTTGATCTGGGTAGGTGTGTGTTGTTGTTTCCTTCGCCCAGTCTTCTCTTTGAACATGAATGTGTTGGCCTTGGGGTGGAGCGCTTCTCCTACCTGTGCCTCCTCTCACCCAGTGTACACTCTGACATTCGGATGTTTCCTGTGTTTGTCTCTGTGTTTGTCCCACCACCAGGTCTCAGGCGGAGCAGTGTTCCTCCCTCGTGCCTTGGCTTCTGAGTTGGAATTGTGTTGTACATCCTCTGTGCTCGGCTCTCAGTGTTAAGAGAGTCTTCATTCAAAAAAGCATTCAGCTGTGTTGCTGTAGAAGCATTGACATTGCTACAGGGCCGCGTTACGGGTACCACATGGTGACAGCCATGTGCACTTTCTGCCCCGCTGGAATTCCGAGGCTTCTCCCTGGGCCCTGTATCTTGGCCAAAGAGGTTGCCTTGGCCTCTCCCTGGACCATAGAGGAAGAAGCCAGTTGGTTTGGTACATGGAACAGAAGGAAGAAGGAACGGGAGTGGTGGCAGGCGGACTAACTGCTGGTTGAAATGCCATTACCCTTGTGTTTGTTTGAGCTTCTCTATTTAATGGCTTTATTTGACCCTATTTCCCTTAAAGGTTTAAGTTCGACCATAACCTGTCAGTTGTAGTTTCAGTGGAATCTTGTATTTCTGGCTCTTTACAACAAATTGTTCTCTCAGATCCATCCAGGACTTTCTCTTTATTTACTGCGTTCCTTGAATTGCTGTAGCCACTTTAATGGTGTCTTTGTATACCTCTGTATAAGTAAAAGTCCTTTGAGGTTGTATTGAGATTCGAGGGGAATGGGGTTTGGGGGTAGAACATGACAACTTTACCCTCCTGTGATTAAGGCCTACAGAAAGACTGTCCCCTACACAGAAATAGACCCTTTCTGGTCCATGGAAAGCTGGAGGTCGAGCTGGGGGTGTGGCTCGGCGGTGTCACCGCCTGCCTCGCAAGCACAAGGTCCTGAGTTCGATCCCCGGTGCTGCAAAGAAAGAAAAGCTGGAGGTGGTCCTTGGATCGTGTCCCTCCTTTTCCTGGTGCTGTTTAAGGGAAAAGAACCTGATCGCCCCGCCTCGTCAGTTGCATGGGCTTACTTGGCACCCTAAACTTAAGGGGTGATTGGCATTGGGAGCCAGGAAGGAAATTTGGATTGTGACAGCCTGAACTTAAATCTTTTTTGGCAGGTGGGGGGTCCCAGGGATCAAACTCAGGACCTTGTGCTTGCAAGGCAGGTGCAGCCCTACTCTATCTTTGTCAGTACTGAAACACAGTGGCTTGCCTCCCAGCTCCCGCCTTCCTGCTCAACTCCAGCAAGCACAGGATGTGGGGACCCCAGCAAAGGAGGGGACCACACTGGCCTGGCCCCTCTTGCCCTACCTGCTGCATACCCTACATTGTGAAGAATCCGTCCTCAGCGGAGGCTTGGATGTCACTTCGTTGGTAGAGCGCTTGCCCAGCACACGCAAGCGATCACCCCAGAAAATCCCAACAGAAGGGTGCAAGGAGTCGAACTCTGCTAGCTGTGGGCTCTAGCCCTGTGTGCTGCTTGCCATAGGTTTTCAGCCTCTGCTCCCACCTCTGCATCCTCCGTTGACTGTGTGTTCCAGGTAGATTGGGAAAACTTGACTCCGGGGTCAGGTTTTCGCCAGTTGAGCCGCCACCTGCCTCCCCACAAGGCATCACCCTCCTTTCGTAGAAGGGTACATGGGGCACAAAAGGGGTTGATGAGCTGGGTCTCGAGAAGGGGAATTTGAAAGACAGGAAAAATGGTCCAAGCAGAGGGAACAGGTATACCGGTAACCATGACCTGAAAGGCTGAGTATCCCAGGAAAATGCATGGTGGGTCCCCAGGATGGGAGGCAGCACAGACCACGTAGGTGGTCTGTGTCCCTTGGGCAGTGGGGAGACACATTTTAGCAGAGCATATTTAATGATTTACACTCCTAGCTGGAGATGATGGCCTGCAGAGACAAGGCCCAGCTCCTGCTCTGCCATTTATGCTCCCTGGGGCCGCAGTAGGTAGTGCTGATCGATAACCATCTCCCAGAAGGCGAGCAGCTCAGAGGGTATCGGTAAAGGAGGCGTGGGCAGAGGAGAGAAGCCTGTGAAGCTGGCAGCCAGCCCCAGCTGTGGGCCTCGTGTCCGGCAAGCACACCGCCTGGCCACCACTGACAACCCCGGAGGCCTTTGAACGGCTTCACCTTGTTCTCCATTTAAACTTGGTTTATTTATATACTTGCACTTTAGTGTAAGGTGATTGTCAACCCAAGGCTGATATCCGTGGGCAGGGATTGGGCACAAAAAGCTGAGTCTTGGCTGAAAGGTTCCTCCAGAATGATGTAAAGCCATCCCCTTTGGATTATGACTAAAGCATGTCCTCCAGGGGCTAGTTTCACAGGGAAAGCAAGGCATAGAACAAAAGGAAGCAGTGGACACAGACGTGGACGAAGCGCCCCTAGGTCCCCTGCAGCACTGCCGAAGCAGGCCCCATCCTCCTGGCCTGATTGTAAGGAGCAGGAGTCCTGCTGTCTGTCCTGAAGGCTCCTCTTGGGGCCACGGGTTGGTAGCGCTCCAGGAGCAAGCACCAGGGCTCCCCAGCGTCGAGTGCGGCACACCCCACTGTCCACTGACCTTCGGCTCCTTCACTACGTTTTGTGGGGATTCCCAAGTCCCCAAACTCCTCCGGCGGGCCAGGAACATCCCTGTCCCTGTCCTTAGGACGACAGAGGCCCAAAGAAGTCTGACTCGGGCCTTCCACCCAGGCGGAGCCACTGCCCGGCACGGTGGCCCTCAAGCAGGGCACTTTGCCAAGGCTGACCACCCACTGGGCTCGGGGGCACAAGGTGCAGGCGGAGGACCTACCCCGGGACCACCTCACAGCAGGAGAGGGCGCCAACCTAAACCCAGTCCCGGAAATGGGGCAAGTGGACTTGGAAAAGGCGCCTCAGAAGCAGGGCCGGGCCAGAGCTTCCCAAAGATGGGAGCAGACCCCAAACTACATTAGGAAGATCTAGGCACAAAGTCCCGACAGCACCCTAGAAGGACACCGCTTTGGGGTCTGCTGTGCGTGGAGAGGGGTAGGCAGTGATGGCAACTGGTCCCGTGTAGCCCCTCAAACAAGGAAGTGAGTGGGGACCTGAGGAAGAGGGAGCTGTCCAGACCGGGCGGGGGGTGGGGGCTTGGACAGAGGACCCTGACATGGGAGTCGGAGTCGGGAGGGGTGGGGTTTCGGGCTCCGGCCCCCTGGGAGCGCAGTGAGCGAGTCACCGAGTGCAGCCCCTCCGCTACCTAGGGCTGCAGAGGCTGCTGACCTGTGACGCCCGCCAGATCGCGGCCCACAGGCAGCGGGTGCAGAAGTAGCCACACCCAGAGCACACCAGGGCCTGGCCTCGCACCCAGCTCATCCGCCCTGGGGAAGTTGGAGCCTGAGCTGGGCCTTCCCGAGGCCACCTACAGAAGGTGGCTTGTGAGCTGGGGCGGGGCCCGCGAATTCTGCCCTTGCGAATTCTGCCCTTCCGCCTTCTCCCTTCCTGGTGCCGCGGGTCCCTCCTCCCTTTTTACTCCTACATTCACATTTTACACAACTCTACCTGAGAAAGCCAATGACCTGGAAGTAAAAGTGAGAAATTGGAAAACAAGACTCGTTAAAGAGCAGGCCTGGGAGGCGAGGACACCTGCTTTTCCCTGTGGTGTGCACCCACGTGAATAAAATAATCCTTTAGATGGAGAGTTTTCTGCCGGAGCAGACTGGTAAATGTCACAGCTCTGAATTAGTCCTCGTGTGCTCTAGGAAATGGTTCCGGACCCTTTAAGTATTTTCCCTTTGCCAGCTACTGGTAGAGGACACTGGAGAAGCATTTCCGGAGGGACGCTTGCTTCTGGCTCTGGCGGGCCCCCAGAATTTGGCTTCTCAGGCCGCAGGTCCTGGGAGCAGAGCAGCCAGCAGCTCCCCAGCAGAGCGCCTCAGCGGGCTGGCTCCCAGACACTGCCCAGACCGCGGGAGAAGTCCAGGAAGTCCTGGGAGGCAGATTTCCGCACATTCCACCCGCGAGGCTCACAGTGGCTGCCGCCCTTCAGTGGGCCACGCGCACCCTCTCCCTCCCACAGTGTCTGCATCCCAGACCTGCTCTCCCCTGCCCTGGTTGCTGCAATCCCGCCTCACCTCATTGTATGAAACCCTCCCTGCACGGGTCCCAGCTGGTGCAAGCAGCCAGGTCGTGCTGTGCTTGGTATCTGGGTGCGGGGACTTCTTAGGCCCTGTATCTCCTGCAATCTGCCCAAAGCCACGACGTGAGGAGGGCCGCTGCTGTGTGATACAGATGCCACGGGGTGGGGGGGGGGGACTTTGTGCCCAATGCCTTACACTTTAATAATCGATACAAGTCTTCAGTCCATTATGAAAGCTCAGGCTGGGCGTGGTGCTACACACCTGTAATCCCAGCACTCGGGAGGCAGAGGTAGGACCGCAGCCTGAACTACAGAGCGAGACCCTGTCTCAAAACACTGGATTTCTGCAAGACCTTGCCCCGGCTCTTCTACACGAGTCCAGGAACTAACAAGAAGGATTCCAAATTCCCTTTCAGCATTCATTTTCCTGGGGTATTAGGTAATCTAGAAATTCTTTTCTTTATTTCCGTTTTACTTTTTCAGTACTATGGGTTGAACCCAGGGAGCACTGAGCTCCATCTCCAGCTCCTTTTGTTTTTTAATTTGAGACAGGCTCTCACTAAGTTGACCAGGCTGGGCTCGGATTTGCCATCTTCCTGCCTCAACTTCCTGGGTATGTGGGGTCATAGGGAGGACCTGCCACGACCCCTTGCTCTTGGCCCATACAGATGGGCTTGGACTGCAGGAGGGACAGACGGGCCGGGGATGTGGCTCAGTGGTGCTGCTGCCTGCCTCACAAGCTCAAGGCCCCAAGTTCGATCCCCGTACCAAGAAGAGACGAGAGGCTCCAAGATGAGCCAGGAGCTGTTGCATGGGCCTCATGAGCTAAGTGGTAAGGAGTAAAAAGGAGAGCACAAAACACCAGCCTTTTCCTGAGACCTAGCCTTTGAAGTCGGACTACCAGGTAACTTGCTGAAGTCATTTGTCTATCTGAAATTCAAATTTACTGGTGTCCCAGGTATTTTGCTTGATCTGATTTCTAAGCCTGGCAACTCCACTTTGATGACACACCTTCAAGGCCCGTTGCCCAACTCAGAGGCCTCCGGTCCAGAAACTGGCATTAACCCCAGCCCCTCGCCCAGCCCAGCCCATCCATGGCTCCCTTCCCAGTCCAGGCCTCCCGGACTTGGGACTTTCTTTCTTTCCTCTTCAACACTGTCAACTGCTCTCTCCTTGCCCTGGGCTTCCTCTCCCCAGGCCTGGCTAGGAAGCTGGTTGCATTTGCCTCAGCTACCTCCTTTCCTGGTCCCTTCCTTAATAAGCTCCCAGCCTCTCCTTAGAGTGTTATCTTTAATCAGCAGAGAGTAAGCTACAGGGAAGCAACAAGAAATGCAGAAGACTTTACAGTCATGACAACGGGGTCTCGGGTTTATGCACAGTGACCACCATTTCCCGTGAGATTCAGATGCCTCGCTCTCCTTCTGGGAGATGAATCCAGAGGCTGAGCCCCCTTTGCTGCCCCCCAGCCGCATTCTGCATGGGAACTTGTACCTATCCCGTGCCCAGGAGAACTGTGAGCCGCTGGAACACACTGCAGCTTAAGGGGTAGATGCCAACATACTGAAAAGCCATGAAACAAAACTAAGAGAACCTTCGTGACATAAGAAAAAATGAAAACACATATAATTTTTAGGTTGTCTTATGATAGTTAAATGCACACAAAATGTCCCTCTCTGCTTTTAAGTACACTTATACTGCATGAGACCATTTCCACTATCCACCTCCAAAATTGTTTCATCTCCCCAAACTGGGACTTTATGCTCATTAAACAATGACTCCCCATTCTACACCTCTGCAATCCCTGTTCTACCTTTTCTTTTTTTCCTTTTGTGGTGCTAGGGATCAACGCAGGGTCTCAGGTGCTAGGCAAGTGCTCTGCCACTGAGCTGCATGCCAGCCCCTGTCCTGCATTTCATCTCGAGCAGTGCAGGTACCGCATACAGGCAGAAATCATACATTTGTCCTTTTAGCCCAGCATGGAGGCACATGCCTGTAATCCCAGCACTCTTTGAAGCTGAGCCAGGAAAATCACAAATTCAAGCCCAGCCTGGGCAACTTAGCAATATAAATTTTTTTAATAATTTTTTTAAGGGGTTCAGGGATTTAGCTCAGTGGTTTCACCGCCTGCCTTGAAAGCACAAGGTCCTGAGTTCGATCCCCGGTACCAAAAAAAAAAAAAAAGAATTATAAGGGCTGAGGGGCTGGGGATTTAGCTCAGTGGTGCTGCCGCCTGCCTCCCAAGTGGAAGGTCCTGAGTTTGATCCCCAGTACCCCCCCAAAAAAAAGAATTAAAAGGGCTGGGGATGAGCTCAGTGCAAAGGCCTTGGGTTCAAACTTCAGAACTGAAGGAGGAAAAAAAAGACTGGCCTGGGCTACACAGTGAGACTCTGTCTTAAAATTGGCCTTTTCTGGCTGGCTTATTTCACTTAGCATAATATCATCAAGATCTATTCACGTCTGGGGCCGGGGATTTAGCTCAGTGGTTCTGCCACCTGCCTTGCAAGCGCAAGGTCCCGAGTTCCATCCCTGGTTCCCAAAAAAAAAAAATGTTCACACTCAAAACTGCATATTGGAATGGATTTAGAGTCATCATAAGGGACACAAAATTATGAAGTTATTTTATGTCGTCAGCACATGCCACCTGACTGCTAGTTCCAGATGGCTTTCTTTACCTAAGCATACTAGACTCATTGGCTATAAATGTTTTGTCTACGAACTATTTGTCCATGGTTCTGGAAAGTTCCAGTTTCAGCCCTTCAGTTGTGAACCACTAATCATGCGCATGAATAAGTGTACAGATGGACAGGAAATATTTCATCTCATTGAAAGAAACAAAACCACACTTTCAGAAGAGCCAGGGGTACACGAATTGAATGTACTTTGGCGGCTTCAAAGGTAGAAGCCAAGCTCATTAAAACTGTTGAATGTGTCAGAGACCACCTCCCAGTTCCCTACTCTGTATAATTTAACTACAAATCAAATCAAATCAATGTATCATGATACCTTGGTGAACATGTTACACATTGCTCAGCAATCAACATTTGTACTACAGTCCATTAATGGGAAAAATAGCTGATAGATATTGTAAATAGGAAGTTAGAATCTATACTGGACTTAAGGTCTTTGTCTGTCTTTTTTTTTTGGTACGGGGGACTGAACTCCGGTCCTTGCAATTGCGCAGCAGGTGGCGAAACCACTGAGCTAAATCCCCAGCCCCTACCTCTTTTATCTTATCCAGACTCCTTAGACCAGGTAGTGCTCACACCCTTCTTTAATCCTAGTGCCCTCGGGCCCAGCCCCACCATGAGTCAATCACACACTCTAGATTCAGCCACCTCTGGAAAAAAAGCCCCATCTCATCTGCTTGAGGCTTTGGAGGGACAACTAGACACAAACCATAACAGTTCTGCACAAAATTTGGAAAACTGTAGATTAATAGATCTATTGAGGATAACTCAAGCATTAGTTTTTCTTTTTTGGCACCGGGGACTGAACCTGGACCTTGCACTTCCAAGGCAGGTGGTGGAACCACTGGGCTAAATCCCCAGCCAAGCCTTAACTTTTCTACATTTTCAAAGTACAGTTTTCCATAAAACTCAGAGAATTACTGTTTAATTACTTGAAAGTCAGTGTGCGACTGAGCGAGACTGCCAGCCTGATCGGTGCCCTTTCAGTGCTCCCTTCTGCTTGCCTGGATAAAGCTGTGATGTCCCGAATTGAGGCACTTTTGCCCCAGTGAGACTCAGTGACCTGAATGACTCTGCCATATCAGTTTTACAATGGGTTCACATGATCACATGTATTTGGGTGGAATTACTGGGAAACAACTGAGAGGACTTCAAAAACTAGATCACTAGAGTCGTCGGAGATTACAGCAGAGCAGCAGGTTTGCCTCTTTTAGGGGAGGAACTTAAATTTTTAAAGGGAGACTGTTTTCATGAATTGGTTCTCAAAGAGACCATTGCTGCTTTGCAGTGTTTGATGGATGAAATCAGTTACACAAATGTTGCAAGGATTGCATCTTCTATTTCTAGAACTACTTCAGTACTTCGCTGCTTGATAGTATAGCAGCAGTGGTTGTTCACCAGATTGAAAAGATCCATCCTTTTTTTTTCCCATTAATTTTATTGGTACATTTTAGGTACACAATATGCTGACATTCATTATTGGGAGTTTGCACCTTTACATAATATATCTTGGTTCTTATTGTTTTCCCCCTTCCCCTGCCCTCCCTTCAATCCCTCTACCCCTCCCTACTTACAAAGACTTTGTTTCCATTTTTTTCTTTTCTCATATTTTTCAATCCTTGCTATTATTCTTTCATTCAATATCTTGAACTGTGATCCACCTCAAAGGGACAAGTTTTTTGGAATGTGCATGCAAGGCCTTCATTCTCACTTAGGTACATTGGATTTTCTCATGTTAGTGTTTGTTGGTTTCTCCGAATATTTTCCAGTAGATCTGCCAAAGGCAATTTTTAACATCCAGTTCTTAGATTGAGAATCAGATTAGATTCTCAACTTGAAATTTTAACTTCATCTCTGAGTAGGAGGGTCCATTTTTTGTCTTATGGGGTTGAATAGTGCTGTGTTTCTGGAATGCCCTGAGTTTCAAATTCCATGGTTTCATGACCACTTTTGTCAACAAAAGTATAATAAAGATATCGGCAGCATGAATGGAGCACATCAGATTTATGAAATTCTAGCAGAGACCAGCTATTCAGTTAAGTACTATTATCTAGAATATATAAAGAGCTCAAAAAAATTAACACCCCCAAATTTAAAGACCCAATGCAAAAATGGGAATCCGAAATAAAGACACTTCTCACATGAAGAATTAGAAACAGCAAATAAATATACGAAAAAATGTTCAACATCACTGGTCATTCCAGAGATGCAAATGAAAACAACACTGAGATTCCATCTCACTCCAGAAAGAATGGCTGCTGTCAAGAAATCAACTAATAACAAATGCTGGTGGGGCTGTGGGGAAAAGAGGAACCCTTCTGCTGGTGGGAGTGCAGACTGGTGCAACCTCTGTGGAAATCAGTGTGGAGATTTCTGAAAGAACTAAAACTAGGGGCCGGGGATTTAGCTCAGTGGTTCTGCTGCCTGCCTCGTAAGCCCACGGACCTGAGTTTGATCCCCAGTACCAAAAAAAAAAAAATATAATAACTTTTTGTGAAATAGTCCTCACTTTTAAAAGGAAAATCTGCTATGAAAAAACATTTAGAAAATTTGGGTTATTGTGTAATCCAGACTCCTCACTTTGAGTGGAACTCTATGGCACTATCAATCAAGGGTGCTCCCATGGACTGCCTGAGACTTGTATTTGGAGAAGGGAAATCATGATTGTCATTTTTATTGAAAATGAGTTTTGTGGGTTTTTTGCTTAAATTCTTTTATTGGTACATTTTAGGTACACAATACGCTTACATTTATCATTGGGTGCTGTACCTGTACGTGATGTATCTTGGTTCTTATTTTTCCCCCATTACCTGTGCGCCCTTCCCTATTTACAGAGACTTTGTTTCCATTTTTTTCTTTTCTCATAATTCTTCCTTTCCCTTCCCCTCCCATTTCCCCTACCCCTTTGGACCTTTTCTTCCTATGAAAATAAGTTCTTATGGTGTGTCACATTTGTATGCGTTATACTTAAGGGCCCTGACTCGGTTAAAAACAGTAGGCACAAATATCCAGAGGTGGGAAAAAACCCTAAATTAAACAAGATAAAATAAAATAAAAATATACCCTTTAGAAATATAGAACTACATATAGCATGAGTATAATACGGTTTCCTTATAAATTAACATGGGAAGGACAACTGGGGATATTAGCTCTTACTTGGAGAAAACAAGAAGCATCCAGTCTGAAAAGTGGTTCCTCTCCCGCTCCTGAAGTCTAGGTGTTCAAAGCCCGGCCTTTCAGGCCCAAGAACTACAACTCCCAGGGGTCGCTACGCCCGGCCTCGGGCCCGCCCTCGGCCGCGACTCCATTTCCCAGCGTGGGCCGCACAGAGTCTCTCCGGCGCCCCGCCGTGGCCGACTTCTCCGGGTTCTAGTTCCCGGCGGCCCTCGCGGCCGGTTCCGGACGTCGGGACTGTTCGTGATGGCGGGGGCTGGCTCTGCCGCCGTGTCCGGGGCAGGGACGCCGGTGGCGGGGTCCACAGGCCGCGACCTCTTCGCAGAGGGGCTGCTTGAGTTTCTGCGGCCGGCGGTGCAGCAGCTCGACTCCCACGTCCACGCCGTCAGGTGCGGGATGGGCCTTGGGCGGGGCCTCGGCCTGGGTTTGCGGGGCGGGACCAGGAGAGGCGGAAGCGGGGCGCGAAGACCTGGGAGGGTGCTCCGAGGGGCGAGGACGGCGCGGGGCTGCCCGCCGCTGAGGCGCTTGTCTCGGTACTGAGCAGTGCTGTGTGTAGACCTGGTTCTGAGTTGCGTGAACTGACCTCTTTGCAGAGAGAGCCAGGTGGAGCTTCGAGAACAGATTGACAACCTCGCTGCAGGTGAGTGCACTGCGCGGATTCCAGAAAATCTCCACCTCCTGTTCAGGACCTTTGCATTTGGCTCATCTCTGGGCTAGGTTTTGTCCCTTGCTACCAGAACATCAGGGCTGCCGACGGACTTAGGAGAGTGGAAGGGAGTGAAGGGAAGGTGACCGGCTCACGCAGATGCAGGTGTTTTCCACCCCATGAATCTAGCCGACTTTCCCTGAGAGCCAAAGGTGAGTCATTGTTTGTTGGACCATTCTTCCATCCCTAGAACTGTGCCGAATCAATGAGGATCAGAAGGTGGCCCTGGATCTGGATCCCTATGTTAAGAAGCTGCTTAATGCCAGGCGTCGAGTTGTCTTGGTCAACAACATCCTACAGAATGCCCAGGTAAAGAATTTCCTAACAGCAGTTCTTTGCTGTGCTTTGTAGGTCTTCAGCACAAGGGAGTTTTCCTGTTGGCCGTAATAAACTCAATTCTCAATATCCAGTTGCTGTCAATTTACATTCTCACCTGTACTTTGGAAAGCACTGAGACACTAAGCTCAAGATATTTCTCAGTACCTACCCGACTAAACCACCTGAAGCCCTTCACAGCAATCAGGTTCCAAACCTTCCTGTCTTGTAGGAGCGGCTCCGGCGGCTAAACCATAGTGTTGCCAAGGAAACAGCCCGAAGGAGGGCAATGCTGGATTCAGGAGTTTACCCCCCTGGTTCCCCAAGCAAGTAACAGGACAGAAGATGGGCATGTGACCTGAGAGGCACAAGTAGCATCCCCAGCTGCCTTGTCTCCAGGCGGGAGATCCCGGAAGCAATCCCTATAGACCTTCCCCACCAAAAAGGCACCCCTGTGGTTTGCCTGAAGAAGGCCATTAAGAAACCTACGTTAAGCAACACTTGGGCTCCCAGAGGACTTACGCTCTAACTCTTTGCTTCCAAGAATCAGCTGAGGCCTCTACATCTTTCCAGTTATACAGCCAAAGCTCACCTTTTTCAGGCCTAGTTAACCAGTGGAGCATCCTTAGAGCTGGGCAGCACTGTGGCGTCCAACGTCATTCCTTTGTTTACACTGAGAGTTTGGAGGACAGCCTGTTTGCCCTCCTCCTGACCGCATTGGCTTGAATACAGTGGCAGTAAAACTAGAACCATTTAATTCAATAAATGCTTAAACAGTATTCCAGTTTACTTTGGTTATATGGAAAGGTTCCAGGAGTCTATTTTAATCCAAATAATTTCACATTGTGATCTTAGTTTTTATAAGGAAAGACTCAAGTACCACTTGCAACTAGAGTACAGAAAGCAAAAAAGTTAACACATACCAAGAAAGAACAAAACCAGGAGCCCTACTAGGAAGTACTTTAATTGTTTTTCTTAGAAAAAAATCTCCAGACACTTAAAACATTTCACATTTCAACAACAAAGTACTGGTTAGAGGAGTTGTCAGGTACTGGAGATTCTAGAGTATTAGGAAGAAATGTTGGTATCCTGCTTCATTTTAGATGGGTCGTTTAAGTCATAAGGGACAGAGCTCTGGCTAAGCCAGTATCAGAACCCAGTAGAATGACATGTCTCTCTGTAGTTTCTTGTTCTTCCTGTCTCTCCTAACCCACAGATGCCACCACATAAAACCCAGTGGGAGCCAGCTGAGGTTCCAGTCTCTTTCCCTTGAGGAGGAAAGGGAGTGAAGGGAAGGTCACTCCTGAGTCTCCATGCTCTCTTCCTCCTCTCCCTGGGGTGGTTCTTCTGTATTCTCCTCCTCTTCTTCCCCTTCCTTCTTCTCAGGTGGCTTCTCATAAGCCTTTTCTGAAGGTGTCACTATCACTCCATCCCAGGTAGATATTTCAGAAGCAAGATCTAGAAGACAAAAAAAGCTTATTCCAGACAGACAGCCAGCAAACAAGTCATGGTTTACACCACAGTAATATTAAGACATCTAGAACAGAGTACCATAAAAAACCCAACCCACAATGGGCACTCACAGCTGGCATCACCCTCCTGTCCAAGGATCTTCCTAAAGCCTCCATGTGAGAGGATTCGAACCAGAGTCTGAGCTGTGTAACACACCATGTCCTGAAAGAAAGCAACATTGAAGGTAAATTAGCAAAGAGAAAGTACCTTATTTGACTAGCATCCTTGAGAAAACAAAAATGAGGACCAATGTAATCTCAGGACCAAAATCTCTGAGAACTAGAGCCTTTTCTCTCTTTTTTTTTTGGTACTAGGGATGAGGCAGGCTCGGTGCCACTGAGCTAAATCCCCAGCCCAAGAACTAGAGCCCTTTGACTAGAAGCATGCAAAAGTGGGGCAAAACAGAAAGACCATTCCATAGCTTTCCCAATACCTGCTGCTCCAAGGTCATGACTGTGTGTACTCTGAAGTTGCCACTCTCACAGGGGTCAGTGATACCCACTGAACCTGGCAGGAACAGACCTGCAGCCAGAATCTGCAAGCAACGCCTAAAATACAACAAGGTGTTAAATACACACAGATGAGCTTACAGCCCCCAAACCAAAAGAAGCACACTGTACCTGTATGCCACATTCAGGGCCAAAGGCTGTCTGGTGGGATTATTCATCACAGCATAGTGCCCCTGGGAAAGAAGTGCTGTTAGGCGTATCTCTGAGGTACAATTCTATCTTCAAAACAAATCATGAGAAAAACTACTTAAGGTCTAGCCAACATTTTCACCTGCAGAAGAAATTCTAAAGTGGCTTTTCATCTAGTCATTTCCAACCAAGTTATCACAATAATGAAATGACAGCAGCAATGAAAAGGCATGCTATTTATTTAATGGACTACTCCAAAATCCAATTAAGTAAGAAGCCCTCAATCTTTCCTTATTGAATTACTTGTCCACCAAATTTTTTTTAAAGCCTCACCAGATATCAGATAAACTACTATTAAACAGAAGATCAGGAACTCCACTGCCCTTCTTTACTTACAAGTAGGTCAAGGATCCAGGGTGTGAGGGGCTCAAAACCAGGAAAACGAATCCTCAGGTCCTTCAGCAATCGGATGAGAACTTTAACTCTGAAAGAAAAAACTAAAGGATTAAAAGTAATAAGATCAGGGTTGGGGATTTAGCTCAGCGGCACTGCGCCTGCCTCAGGAGCACAAGGTCCTGAATTTGATCCCTGGTACCAAAAAAAAAAAAAAAAAAATAAGATCAGCAGGGCATGGTGATATACATCTGTAAACCCAGCACTCAGGAGGCTGAGGCAGAAAGATTGCCTACAGGCTAAGGTTATAGCCAGCCAGCTTGGGCTACATAGTGAGTTCAAGACCAGCCTGAACTATAGCAACTCATGGGGGGGGGGGGGGCATAAAAAGAATTGAGATGAGTTATGCACATGTACCAACCCTCCATGCTGAAGGTAATCATTATATACTACAAACGTACTAATAAAAATATAAAAAAACCAACTGTTACAGAAGTATGGGGGCATCTTGCTATTCGATATGGCTAAGGTTGTCATAATACAAATGATCAGGGAGACACTCACGTGGACTGAGAAGCATTTTCCTCAAACCAGCGGGCATGTCGAATGGCTGCTAAGGCACTCTGCAACACCTTGATATCCACTAGAAGTATGACAGGCCAAAATTAAATGTTTCTATTATTAATAAGCACCCAATTCAAGCCCATTGCTATGGCGTAAACACCTGGAAGGAGGGCAGGCTAATTTAGCAGTTCTTTTAACTACCCTACGTTCCTCATATCTGCACATGACTTGTCCAAAAAGTACTAGTTTTCCTCCAGACCAAATCTAGGAGCATGCAAGATCCACGATTTGTTACAGAAACCTTCCTACCATAAATACTTCTACAGTCCTTCAGTCTCCCAACTGTTTTTTTTTTTTCAGGTACTGGGGACCAAACTCAGGACCTTGCGCTTACAAGGCAGGCACCAGAATTACTGAGCCAAATCCCCGGCCCCAACTGTTTTCTTAGTCATCCTGTCTTCAAAAATTTTATTAGGAAGTTGGAAAAGTTAGAGGGAGAGAGCAAAGTTCAGACCAAGTCTCTCAATTTTCAGAAAGCTTCATAACACCAAAAAGCTAACTGAACTCAACAATACCATGTTTTAGATTTGCCCCATATTTCCTAGCAATGGAAAAAAAAAAAAGACTAACAATGGAGTTCTGGGTCCAGTTTTCGAAGATTGGGTGGCACTGTTGTAATGAGGATTTTCACTGTAGCATCAGAAGAACTGATTTCAAAACCAGTTTCATTAGTCAGCATGGTCAAAACTGTAAGAACAAAGTAATCAAAAGCTGTAATTCACATTTTCACTAGAAAACCAATGTTTAAATACAGGATGATGGTCTTTTTTTAATATATGGGTTTTTAAAAACAGTAGTTCAGAATGAGAGTTTAGTGTTGACTTTCAAAAGGAAGATAAAAAGGATTTTGAACGCAGAGACCCCACTAAAAATTTTCAGAACATAAAAGTACACTGACTACCACAGAACCTGACCTAACGGTGTTGAAAGTGTGTGTACAACTACAGGACCTTGCCCCTATGGTCACCAACTACACATTCAGCAGCAAACTCAAACCTTCAGAAGGATCCTGTGCTCTTAGGCTTTCCACAACTTTGTTCCCCAGGGCAGCCACAGCTTCCACTAGATTGACAGAAAAGGAGACAACAATGTGACAGGAATCCATTTATGCAGACTTTCTATGCACCTCTGCCTTATCTAGCACTCTCATCTCTCCTTCAAGCTCAAATCATAGCAGGGCTTTGCTGGCCAGTGGCATTTAACATTCTGGGCCGGTCAGTTCTCCACGGAAGGAAGGGTCAGTGGCAGGCACCGTGAGATGTTCAGCAACGTCCTTGGCCTCCTCCCTCCCCCGCCCCCGGTTTGTTTGGTTTTTCTTTAGTTTCTTTTTTTGGGTTTGTTTGGGTTTTCTGTAGTACTATGGACTGAATTCAGGAGCACTGAGCTACATCTCCAACCATTTTCGTGTATTTGGAGACAGGGCCTCACTAGGTTGTCCAGGCTGGCCTCAAACTTATGGCCCTCCTGCCTCAACCTCCTGAGCAGCTAGGATTACAGGTGTGTACCACTGCGCCCCCTCAATGAGTATCCCCTTTTGACGCCAGTATCCCTGAGCAGTGACAACCAAAAATATCTCCAGATACTGCCAAATGGCCCCTGGGAGCAAAATAGCTTCCATTTGAGAAATACAGCCCCACAGTACTGGCCATTTTTCTTAGATACACACTACAGAGTCTATCCCTTATCACCCAATACAAATTAAAAAAACAAACTTCTACCCAACATGGTGGCACATGCTTGTAATCCCAGGACTCTTGGAGGCTGAGGTAGAAAGACTGCAAGTCCGAGCCCAGCCTGGGCACTTAGGCAAGACCTTATCTCAAAGTGAAGAACGGGGTGGGTGGGTATGTGACAACCTGGAAATGTAGCTCAATGTGAAGCCCCTGTGTTCAATCTCCAGTACTGGCTCCCTTCAGTAATTCCAATTTGTCTCCCAAACATCACTTTCCACATACACAAAAATTGGCTTTCAAAGATTTCCTAGGCCCCTAAACCCAACTGTTATATTCTATTTCCACGGTCAGAGAGATGGGCTGGCAATGTAGCTCGGCACTTGCCTAGCATGCACAAGGCCTGGGGGTTAGATCCCTAGGACCAGGAAAAAAGAAACAGAAAGAGGTATACTCACATGTTGGCAGAATCTTTAGTATGACCACCAGATCAGCCACGTTATGTCCTGTAGTCATCGTTCCCTTTTTATATGATCCTACCTGTCGGACTTCTTCAATTTGCTAGTAGAAAAGAGATTTCAAAACAAAATTTTTAGAAGAAAAAATTTGCCTACTTGCACTTGAAACACAGTTTCTTATGACCCAGATTTGGGAGTAGCAGTGGTAAAATCATCCCAGAAACAAACATAAAAGCTTGACATATCACAGCCTAGCTGGCAATAATATAAATCTTGCCCCCAAGATCAGTACTGCAAAAGGAATTCCAGAGTTTAATTTCACTGAACTTTTCCATTTTAGGTTTGGATTTGGGTAAATGGCATCTGCAAAATTGAGACAGGACATAAACAAAGTCCCAGACTACCAAGGCTGTCTTTTCTTAGAACTAAGTTATCAAAAACTCACCACTTCAAATGTCCCTGGAGCCACAATCAAATTGTCAATCACATTGTTTATTTTTGTCACCAGAGAAAGGATAGAGGCCTGAAAAACATTGTGAAACAAAAATACCCTAAACTCAAAATTTACAAGCATCTTCTCAGAATTTGATTTTTCCCCCTAACGCCTTCCATATAAACAAAGGTCAATATTGGTGTAGGGCTTTGAAAACACTTTAACTCTTCTAGCCTTGAATATATCAGAAAAGCACTATTTCATCCCACAGGTTTCCCAGTAACAATGAGTGCATCTGTAATCTGTTCATATATTCACCTATCTCCAGCTACAATGAGAAATAAAGAATAATCAAATTCTCTGTGGAGTTTAGACTCTTGTCAAAACATTGAGGATTGGGACAGGGATTTAGCTCAGTGGTTGTGCCACTTGCCTCGAAAGAGCAAGGACCCAAGTTCGATCCCCAACTCGTACCAAAAACAAAAATCAAACATACCTGTTCAGCAGAATTCGGAGCTAGATCCTGATTCCTCTTCAGCAAGGCTTCACTGAAAGAAGTTTCGTCAGGTGCTGGCTTGACCCGGGGAAAGGCCATTTCACACTACAGCAGAAATAAACAACTGTATACCATTTATCAAAAATAAGGCTGGGGATTTAAGCTCAGTGGCACCATACCTGCCTCGAAAGCACATGGTCCTGAGTTCGATCTCTGGTACCACACACAAGAGCTAGGTGTGGTGTACACCTGTAATTCCAGCACTTGGGAACCTGAGGCAGGAAGATCCCTGCCAGTATGAGGCCAGCCTGAACTACACAGCAAGTGATTTATAAGAGAATTTTTTCTGTTACTAAAAGAGAAAAATTCTACAACACTTTTATTTCTTAAAATGTTCAAAGATACAAAGGAGTAGAGCCATAATTTAAACTCACTACTTTTATATTAAAACAAAGCAGATACGATTGTACAGAACAAAGATTACAATCATGCAGCCAAGGAATGATCTCCTCTGCCTCGCTTACATTGTTTCTGTATGTAAAGCGAGCCCCAGTTGACTTAAAGCCCAGCTCTGGAGGGAGGAGGCTGGATTCAATCAGTGCAGGATGGACGCAAGTACTAAGTGTACTGAATCCCATGAATAGGGCAGTACGTGCCTGAAGCCCTTCCTTCCATCCCCAGCACCAACAAACAGCAGTTAAGTGAGATTTTTAAAAACCCCAACTTTCACAAATGCTTTCTCCTACTCCGACCACCGCGGAACTCCCTGTACGAGGCCGGCCGGCACTGCTGCGCCTGCGCGCTGCGCCCGGGCTCCGGGAACTCACCAGGTAGAAGTCGAAGGGGATGTGCGGCACAAAGGGCCTGAACCTGCAACAAGAGCGCGCGGGTCACGGCCGGGCAGCCTCGGCGGGGCCCGCGAAGGGAAGGGCAGTGCCGCCCCGCGCCGCGCCGCACTCACCCTCCTCCGGGGCCTCCTCGGGAGCCGAAGCGTCCCCCGCGCCCGCGGCCTCTGTCGCCCCTGAAAAGCACTCGCGTCAGGACGCGGGCCCGCCCGCCACGCCGCTGCCCGCCCGCTCCGCGCTCCAAGCGCCCAGCAGGCGCCGGGGCGCACAGGGGCGCCGGGAAGGGACCCCGGGAAAGGGCCCCGGGACCCTTCGGAAGCCAGCCCCTCGCCCGCGGCCCGGACACGCCCCGCCCCGCCGGCCCTGGCGGACTCCGGGCTCCTCGCCGCCCCCGGCACACTGCCTTGGGCCCCCGACTCCTCTTGGCCCGCCCGCCCCCATTTTCCGGAGAAGCCTTTGGAGCGCGTCAGTCCCTTTACCTCATGGCGCTCTTAATGCCGAACAATGGAAGCCACACCAACCGACCCTCCGCTCGGAAGAGCAGGCAACTGAAGAGTGTCTCGCCGGCGTCTCCCAACAAAACCAGGCACGATTGGCTCCCGCCTTGCTCCGCCCACCATGCCTATTGGTTTACTTTGGCAAACTGTGCATAGGGACCAATTCAAAATGCCTACTCAGTCAGGAACTAGCCAATAAGAACAGGCTGAACACTAACAGTTGACCAGACACTAGGGATGGCGTCAGAGGCAGCATGCAAAGCTATGAACGCGTCGTAAACCTTCTGTACAGCTCTGGATCACTTCTGAACGCAGGTAGCAGAGTGGCGCAGCGGAAGCGTGCTGGGCCCATAACCCAGAGGTCGATGGATCGAAACCATCCTCTGCTATCGGAGTGCCAATGTTTTCCTTCCACCTTTCAGGCCAATACACACATAATACATTTCCACTAGATTCTTACCACTTTCCCATTATTTTCTCCCTCAAAAATTTAACCTTTCACAGCTGTTTTTGCCACCGTCAACCCGTGTGGAAGGGATTAGGAAGGGATTTAGCAACGAACACTACACGTCTAAAGCTGAGGTTGGAGTCTGCTTCAGATAGGGAGGGTGTATTGATTAAATCGGTACTAAAAACACTAAATGAGTGTCTCACTCCTGTCACCGCAGCACCCGGGAGGCTGAGGCAGGAAGATCGCTGCGAGTTCGAGGCCAGCTTGAATTACACATCGAGACCCTGTCTCAAAAAAACAAGGGCCAGGAAGGGCGGGGGATTTAGCGATTTAGCTCAGTGGTTCCACCGCCTGCCTTGAAGGCACAAGGTCCCGAGTTCAATCCCTGGAACCAAAAAAACAAAAAAAAAACCAAGGGCCCTCAGTTCGATCCCCAATACCGGGAAAAAAAGGTGAGAAACTGAAACACAGTATTTAGGAAATAGAACTCACAAAGGGCTGCTGGGGGGCTGGTGAGGGTTTCTTACTCCACACTGCCCGTAACTGGAAGACACTGCAGTCATTTTCTCCTTGTCGTGGTTACCCTCAAAATTACAACAGGCACCCTTGCAAGACCTAATTTCCACCCTGCTTGTGAAAAACGCAGGAATAATTTGATTCTTCTTACCACCATTACTCTCTCCATAATTATTTTCTATTGTGCAACTTTTTAAGGTACTTTAACTTACTGCAGCAAAAAGTGGGGGTTTGTTTTTTTTTTAAGACAGGGTCTTCTCTAGCCCAGGCTGGCCTTGAACTCACTGCATAGCCCAGGCTGGCTTCCAAATGACTGCAATCCTCCTGCCTCTGCCTCCAAGAGTGTGCTGGGATTACAGGAGTGCACTACACTCAATTTAAACATAGATCTTAATTCCGTCCATGTAACCACCAACCAGATTAAAATAAAATTTTTATCACCTCTATACACTGACTCAGTCCTCTGCCCTGCTCCTAGAAGCAGTCACTATTCTGATTACCACTCTCCCAGATTACGTTTGGCTGTTCTTTAATTTCACATAAATCCACTAATACTGTATGTTCTTTCTCATCTGGCTCCTCTCGCTTGTCCCAATTTGAGGTTCCGCCATGCTTTGCCTTTATCAGCACTCTCTTCTCTTATTTACGAGTTGCATTCCACTGGATGCATACATCAGTTTGTGCATCTGGCCTGCTGTTGAGGAACTCAGGGGCTCCAGCTCCCTGAGTCACACACACACACACACACACACACACACACCACACGCGTGTGCCTGGGCCATGGAGTTTGGACCATTATGAACTGCGCTGCTCTGAACATTCTCCTGCAAGGGTCCTCCTCGTTATCAGTCACATGCATTCATTTTGCTTCAGTCAGTGTTAAGAATTTAAATACACACATATTAATGTTTTCTAAGTCAATAGTCACTTCATTAACCATTTCATTTTCTGCTAGGAGAAGGAGGTGAACTCACGGCTTTGGCTCTGAGCTACATCCCCCGCCCTTTTTATATTTTGGGTGCTGCTAAACTGCTAAACCGCTAAACCCCTGGGCTTGAATTTGCACTCCTTCTGCCTCCTGCTTCCAAAGTGCTGGGATTCTAGGCACTGCAGCACCATGCGTGGCTCTTCCATCTTTGCTTCGGAAGAAACTTTGGTGACTAGGAAATTCTAGGTTGGAAGCTATTTTTTTTCAGCACACTGGCAATATTATTCCATACCGGTGTTGGCTTCCACTTTTACTGTGACAGAAAAAAGTTGTGAAACTAATTGTTGCTCCTTTGAAGACAATCGATACCTTTTTTAAAAAGGTAATCTGGGGGCTGGGGATTTAGCTCAGTGGTTCTGCTGCCTGCCTGCCTCGAAACACAAGGTCCCAAGTTCAATCCCCGATACCAAAAAACAAAAACAACAAAAAAGGTAATCTGTATTTGTATGTATGTGACAGGGGTCTCTATGCTGGTCTCAAACTCTGGGCCTCCTGCCTCACTCAGCTGTGCAAGAGCCAGACTATAAGCTGCAACCACCAGGCCTGACAGCGGGGCCTCTTGAATCCATGTCTGTCACCTATTTTTTAAATTTCTCAGCCATTACCTCTCCAAATACCAGTTTTATTATTTTCAGATTCCAAATGAAGGTATCAGACTTTCACCCAGTGCCCTGTCTCTCTCACCCTCTCTTTTAGGCTCTCCATCATGCCCACCACCCTCCATTTGGGATTTCTTCCATCCTTTCCTCCAGTTCATCACAGGCTGGTCAGTCCAGTCTGATCACGGCTCAACATACCGATTGGTTCTTAACTTTCGTTTTTGTTTTTGTTTTGGTACCAGGGATCTAACTCGGGTTAACTTTTGTTTTTAAATATCTAGGGACTAGACAGTTGTGGCGCATCCCTGTAATCCCAGCACTCGGGAGGCTGAGGCAGGAGGATCACTGTGAATTCGAAGCCTACCTGGGCTACATAGTGAGTTCAAGGCCAGCCTGAACTACATCGTGAGATACTGTCTCAAAAAACAAACAAAAAAAACCAAAATAGGTATCTAGGGATCAAGGTTTTTTTGGTACGAGGGATCAAACTCGGGACCTCACGCTTGCCAGACAGGTGCTATGCTGCTGAGCTACGTCCCTGGCCCCAGATTTTCTATTTATGCTGGGCTTATCCTGCTGCCCTACCCTTTGTTTTGTTTTTTTGAAATAGGACCAGCTGTGCAGCACAGCCTGGCCTCGACCTGCAGGATGTGCCTGCCTCAGCCTTGGGCTGCAGCAGCGTGCCACCTGCCTCTGGAGAGCAGCACCCAACCAGGGAGGCGAGCTGTCAGGCAGTCCTGATCTTGAGGTGCACTGGACTTCATTTCTGTCTCATTAGCCCTATGGGCCCTATTTTTTGCCACCAGCAAATGACCCCCAGGGAAACTCACCTGTTTCCTGACTTTCCCTGTTCTTTCTCTTTTTTTGGACAGGGGATGGAACTCGGGACCTTGTGCTTGTGAAGCAGGCAGTGGAACCACTGAGCTAAATCCCTCCCCCCACGCTGCTCTCTCACACGCAGACGCTTCACTACCTGGTCAGTTCTTCAGCTTTTTATTGCGTATTTTTCTGTTTTAGCTTACTTGGGGATTGAAATCAGGCTTGCACATACTAGGCAAGCACTGCAGCAATGAACTCCGTCTCCAGCCCTTCCCTTCTTTGCTGCTCTTCTGGTTAGCAGTGTTTGCAGCAGGCGATGTTCACACCCTTGTGTGGGGCTGGCGCATGCTCCCAACACATCTCACCCCCTTTCCTCCCCTTTCCGTCCCCTTCCCGTTTGAGAAGGATCTACTTCCTATTACCTGCCTTTATCTGGCTCTTTATAATTTGGGTTTCTATATAAGAGAGCCCATATAATATAAAAATCGTGTCTGATTTACTCAACATTATGCTCTTGAGGTGCATCCATTTTCCTACAAATGACTCCAGTTTAGCCTTCATTATGGCAAAGTAGTACACCATTGTGGTTTGGGGTTTTATGAGTTTTTGTTGCTTTTTGCTTTGTAATACAGACTGGGCTTGAGCTCACGGTGATCCTCCTGCCTCAGCCTCCCAAGTGCTGGGATTATGTTCTCGCTTCGGCAGCACATATACCAAGTGCTGGGGTTATAAGCATGCACCACCACGCCCGGCTCCATTGTGTGTTAATACCACATTTTCTTTATCCATTCTTCCATTGATGGACATATAGGCTGCTTCCAGAATTTAGCTATTCTGAATTGTGCTGCTATAAACATGGGTATCCATGCATCACTATAATATGTTGTCTTTAACTTTTTCAGGAAGATACCTACAAGGGGAATAGCTGGGTCAAATGAAATGTCTAGTTTAAGGTTTTTTGTTTGTTTGTTTTGGTGTACTGGGGATCGAACTCAGGACCTTGCGCTTCTGAGGCAGGCGCCAGAACCACTGAGCTAAATCCCCGCCCCTAGCTTAAGGTTTTTGAAGACTTGCCATAACTGATTTCTATAGTTGGAACTACTCCATGTTGTAGTAGTTTACAGTTCCATCAGCAATGTAGAATGGTTCCTTTTTCCCCACAGCCTCATCAGCATTTTTTATTATTTCATTTTTCATTTTTTTTTTTTTTGGTACAAGGGATTGAACTCAGAACCTTGCACTTGTTTTGTTTTGTTTTTTTGGTACCGGGGATCGAACTTGGGACCTTGTGCTTTCAAGGCAGGTGCCGGAACCACTGGGCTAAATCCCCGGCCCAACCTTGCACTTGTGAGGCAGATGGTGGAACCACTGAGCTAAAACCCTAGCCCTATTATCTGATTTCTTATATGTCTTTTTTTGGTTTTTGTTTTTTGGTACTGAGGATCGAACTCAGGACCTTGTGCTTACAAGGCAAGGGGCAGCACCACTGAGCTAAATCCCCAGCCCTTAAATTTTTTTGACTTTCTTCTTTGGGTATAGTGTCTGTGATCGGAACAACAGCTGATTGTCCAGTGACTATTTGAAATCCTTTGTAAGTCATCAAGTGTTTTTTGTCTTGTTGGTACCAGAGATCGAATTCAGGACCTTGCACTTGTGAGGCAGGCGGCGGAACCACTGAGCTAAATCCCCAGCCCTCACTTGCTTATTTTTTGATTGGGCCTTTTATTTTGGGGGTCTAATTTTGAGTTCTTATATATTCTAGATATTTGCCCTCTGTCTGAGGAATAGCTGGCAAAATATTTTTCCCATTCCATGGGTTGTCTCTTCACTCTATTAGTTTTTTCTTTTGCTGTGCAGAAGCTTTTTAAAATTTGATGACTCCATTTGTTGATTCTCGGTACTATTTCTTGTGCAACTGAGGTTCTGTTCAGAAAGTCTTTGCCTACGATTTCAAGAGTTTTATCTATTTTTCCAGGTGTGGTGGCACATGCCCATAATCCCAGCACTAGGGCAGCTGAGGCAGGAAGATCGCTGAGTTCAAGGCCAGCCATGTGCCACTATGGAGCCCAGGCTGGCCTCCAACTAGTGGCAATCCTTCTGCCTTAGCCTTCTGAGTGGTAGGGTTACAGGCATGTGCCACCACACCTGGCTTAAAAACAAAATTTTAGAAAGGGCTGAGGATATATGTCAGTCCTCCCTAGGTTCAATCTCCACTATGAAAATAAATAAAATTTTTTTCATCTGGGCTAGAGATGTACCCACATGCACAAACCCCTAGATTTACTCCCTAGCACTGAGATAAAAAGAAATCCATTATTTTTAGTGGTCTGCAGCTCCAAAGTTAATCTATTATTGAGAGGAGCTCAATTGCTAAACTGTATTTTTAGTCTATTATTATTATTATTATTATTATTATTATTATTATTATTATTTTGACACAGGGTCTCACTATGTAGTCCAGGCTGGCCTTGAACTCGAAGCAATCCTCCTGCCTCTGCCTCCTGACTGCTGGGATTATAGGCATTCGCCACCACCCCTGGCTGAGTCTAATCATTTCTTCTGGGCTTCAGCTCTACCAACCTAGAGACCTATTACACACCTCCACTTGGGTATCTACAGGCACCTCAAACTCGATAAATTAAACTTATCATTCTCCAAAGCTCCTTCAGCTTTTCCACAAACAGGGTCTCCCTCCCCAAATTCTGACAAATAGCTCCCCGCTTCGCACCTGGCTCTACATCTGGCCCTCCCTCTGCAGGACAAAGACACTCTGCGACCCTCACAGAGCGCTGTGGCCAGCCTGCTCCTGCCTGTCCTCCAGCCGTGCCTGCAGGCAACACCACAAACCCCTCACATCCCCTGAGCAGATGAACCAGACTCACCTCAAGAAGGTTGTGGACGCTTGTCCATCGTGCAGGACCTACACTGCCAGCTCTTTCAACCTTCCAAGCAAAGTCAGACGTCCAAATAATCACTAAATTGCCTAAGCTGGCCTCAAACTTGTGATCCTCCTGCTTCAGCCTGCCAGAGTCCTTGGATTACAAGTGTGCGCCACTACACCTGGCCCATGTACTGATTTAAGTACAGGCAATTAAATAAAATAGTTAGAACACAAACCAAACAAAACATGTCTGCCATCTGAAAATGGGTCCTGGGCTACAAGCTCTAGATAGTAAGAACAGCCAAAAGTCTCCTAAAACTCCATACACAGAATTCTATTTCAATCTTCTGTTCTCTCTCCACAGAGTATCTTTCTCATCCTTCTACCATTGTTGGATTCTCTTTGGAGATTCCTGGTTCCAATCTAGGCAGGATTAACAGCCATTCATCTGGGGCCCCTAAGTTTATCGCGCTTCCAGCATGCCACGCGGAGGCTATTTGTCCCCCCGGACTGCATGCGTTCGTCTTCCCGCGCTCGGGTGCAGCGGGAGCAGCGGCTCCTCCTGCGCGGTCTGCTTAGCAGCTTTAGGATCCTACGACGCGTAGGCACCGTCAATGACGGCCGCTGCCCTTAGGGGGCAGACTGGTTCCGCGGCGCTCAGGGCCAGGGTCGCAGCAGTCAGGGCCGTGGAACCCTCTTCCCAGCGTGCGCCTTGGGGTCATTTCCAGCGCCGTCTCCGCCGCCACCACGGACCCGACACAAACATTCCGGGAGCGGCCCGAGGTCACTCCGCCCCGCGCGCGCAGACCCACGGCCACCCACCCGCCGCCCCGCGCTCCCACAAGCGTGCGGGGCCCGAAGGGTTAACCCCACCTCCCACAGGTCCCTCTTCTCCGCGAATCCGCTCGGCCTAGAGGGAAGCGGAGGGGGGATCAGATGAGCTGGGTGGCCGTGACTCTGGCCCATTTGCCTTCGGCTCCGACGTCCTTCTCCGCGCCCCACGCCGGACACGCGCGTCCGCGCACTCGCGCCTCTCCCGGCCGAGATCCCAAGCCAGCGCCCCTCGCTCTCCTCGGAGGGAGCTGGGTAGGCGAGGAGGACCGGGCAGGGGGTCTGGGCGCGGACGTTTCCACGAGCCCCTCGTCGGCCTCGCCCCGCCCCGGCGAGGGCGCCCCGCGCGTGGAGCCTCCCCGGCGCGGAACCGTCGGGCAGCCGAGCCGAGCGAAGAGTCCACGCGAGAGCGCGCAGCGGCGCGGCGGGGAAGGAGTTAAAGGCCCGGGTCTGGGAGGGAAGCGCCCGGAGGGAGGGAGGGCTCGCAGCTGGGCTCGGTCCTGCCCCCCCCCCACACAGCCGGGGACTTGGGCCGCCCAGCCCCGTGCGCCCAGGAACACGCGCTCCTTTCGCCCCCACGCCTCAGTGGTCTCCGCGGCGCCGCGCGCCCTCTCCCGGCGCCCGCCCACCTGCCCGGCGCACCGGCCTCCCGAGCTCCGCCGGACGCGCTCCACTCCCGCAGGGCCGCGCCCGCCGCCACCATGGAGGGCGCGCCGGCCCGCTGAGCCATGCCGGGCCCCGCGAGCCCCGCCGGCGCCCGAGCGCGCCCGGCCCTGCTGCTCCGGCTCCTGCCGCTCCTGCCGCTGCTCCGGGGCGGCCACGCGGGCACCCTGACAGTAGCCGTGGTGCTGCCGCTGGCCAACACCTCGTACCCGTGGTCGTGGGCGCGCGTGGGGCCCGCCGTGGCGCTGGCCCTCGCCCGCGTGGAGGCGCGGCGCGACCTGCTGCCGGGCTGGACGGTGCGCACGGCGCTGGGCAGCAGCGAGAACGCGCAGGGCGCCTGCTCCGACACCGCCGCGCCGCTGGCCGCTGTGGACCTCAAGTGGGAGCACGACCCCGCGCTGTTCCTGGGCCCCGGCTGCGTGTACGCGGCCGCCCCCGTGGGCCGCTTCACCGCGCACTGGCGCGTGCCGCTGCTGACCGCCGGCGCCCCGGCGCTGGGCTTCGGCGCCAAGGACGAGTACGCGCTGACCACGCGCGCCGGTCCCAGTCACGCCAAGCTGGGCGACTTCGTGGCGGCGCTGCACCAGCGGCTGGGCTGGGAGCGCCGGGCGCTCCTGGCCTACGCCTACCGGCCCGGCGACGACCAGCCCTGCTTCTTCGTGGTGGAGGGGCTGTACATGCGCGTCCGCGACCGCCTCAACATCACGGTGGACCACGTGGAGTTCGCCGAGGGCAACCACGACCACTACGCTAGGCTGCTGCGCACCGTGCAGCGCCAGAGCCGCGGTGAGCCGCGCGCCCGCCGCGCCCCGCGCCTTCCCTGCTCGGGCGTTCCTCTCCCCCTCGCCCGGCGGGTGCGCGCCATTCCCGCGTCGGCCTCCCCGGCCCTTTCTACCCCGGAGTTTCCCTTTCTTTCTCCCCGTCACTCCCCGCTGGCGCCCCGAGCCTCCCCGACTCCCCGGACCGACCGTCCGGGGTAGACGGGACGGAGAAAACGCCTGCGCTGCTGACACCTAGCTGGTCCTCAGCTGGGGTCTCGCCCCCTTTCTCTCGGTTTTCTTTCCTTCCGCCTTCTCGGCTCGCAGCCTCTCCTCCCTTTGCTCCCCCCCGCCCCCAGTCCCCGGGCCCCACCAGCCCACCCGACCCAACCCCGCTCTCTGTCCTCAGCTCTGCTTCTTGCCCTCCGCGCTGCACACCTCTCCCTTCCGCGGTCCTCCGTCTGTCTTTCTCCGCCCGCTGAGCCCGGGCTGCCGCTGCACCATCCGCAGCTCCTACCTTCCCTTCTCTTCCCTTCCCTTCTTCCCTCCGCCTGCTCCCGGCCCTGCCCTTCTCTGATTCCGCCTGTCCTCCAGTCACCTACATCTGCAGCTCCCCGGAAGCCTTCAGGACCCTGATGCTCTTGGCCCGAGAGTCGGGCCTTGGCGCGGAGGAGTACGTTTTCTTCCATCTGGATGTCTTTGGGCACAGCCTTCAAGGTGCACAGGGCCCCGACCCCCGGCCCTGGGAGACAGGGGACGGGCAGGACCTCAGTGCCCGCCCAGCCTTTCAGGTGAGTGCCGGGCTGGAGCCCCGGCTGTGGGACTCAGCTGGTAGAACCTCGTATCTATGCGCTGTGACCCAAGAATCTGAAAGAATTTCAGAGAAGAGGTTTTTCATTTTACTTTTTTGTTGTTGTTGGTACCGGGATCTAACTCGGGTCCTTGCACTTCCGAGGCAGGCGGCGGAACCACTGAGCTACCTCCCCGGCCCTTTTACTTTATTTTTTGATAATGGAGCTTGAACCCAGAGCCTTCAAACTGACCTACACCATCCCCCTTTGTTTAAAGGACAGGTTTAATCTGACGCTTATTTATTTTATTTATTTGAGTTTTTGGCGGTTTTTTTGGAGACAAGATCTCACTATGTAGTTCAGGCTGGCCTCCAACTTACTGTGATTCTTCCTGACTCAGCCTCCTGAGTGCTGGGCTTACCAGTGACCACTACCGCTCATGGCTTTGTTTTATTGTTTTGAGACAGGGCCTCACTAAGTTGCTGAATTGACCAGACTTGAGTTTGAGATCCTTCTGTCTCAGCCTCTCGGAGTGCACCAACTTGCCTGGCAAAGAGGCTCTTGATGCTCATAGGGAGTTAGGCACTGAAGGGTAGGAGCGTCAAAGCCGGAGGTCTTAAAAGATGAAGAATAGGCTCGAAGAGGGAGGACGTTAAGGTCTCAGATTGGACAGGACTTCACTTCCTCGCTGAAGAGCAGGCACCCCCTGTGCTGGTCATGGGGCCCAGTCTGACCTTGACCTGAGCAGAAAGGCAGGCCTGGGAGGGGTCCTCGGGTACTGGAGAACTGGAGCCAGCCCTTCACCAACCCCTTCCTAGGCTGCCAAGATCATTACCTATAAAGACCCGGCTAACCCTGAATACTTGGAATTCCTACGGCAGCTAAAAGTTGTGGCCCGGGAACAGTTCAACTTCAGCGTGCAGGACGGCCTGGTAGGAGGGTCCTGGGAGCCTTCAGGGTGGTCCTCTGCGGGCCTCCGCCCCGGAGCCCAGACCCCCCTCTCTCCCTTCCCCTCATTCCCGTATCTCTTGGGATGGCCAAGGGCACAGTGCGCATCCGGCCAGGCACAGTGGTGACGGTCCTGCCCACTCCGCCAGGCAGGCAGCTGGAGACGCAGCCCCATCTCTGGTGTCAGCCTCCGCGTCCTTCCCACGGGTACCCACTCGGGGCTCCCTCTGTCCCCTCCCTGAGCTCCCCTTGCCCATAGGAGAACATCATCCCAGCGTCCTTCCACGATGGCCTCCTGCTCTATGTCCAGGCAGTGACGGAGACTCTGGCACACGGGGGCACTGTCACCAGTGGGGAGGACATCACTCAGAGGATGTGGAACCGAAGCTTCCTGGGTCAGTGCCGAGGGCAGCAGGAGGGGCTGTGTTGGTGCTGGGTCCCAGGTGCCCCAAAGGCCCTCTGTAGTCCCTCGCCCACACTGCTGTCCTCCCGGCTTCTCCGAGAGCTCCACAGCAGGCCCAGCGCCCCTCTCCAGACCCCGTCAGAGCCTCCTGTGCCCTGACCTCAGCATTTCCTGCGGCTGTCCTCTCCTGCTGTTCTGTACCTGCATGTGTTTGGAGGCCAAGGATGGAGCCGTGAAGAGCACCCCTGAACTAAGGTCCTCAGAACACAGCCACTGTCCCCGTGCCCACAGGTGTGACCGGATACCTGAAAATTGACAGCAGTGGAGACCGGGAGACCGATTTCTCCCTCTGGGATATGGATCCTGCCACGGGCGCCTTCAGGGTGCGTTGCTGCAGGCAGAGGATAGCGCCAGCTCAGAATATCGAGCCTCCCTGGGCTCTGCAGCAGCCCTGCCAGGGCATCTGCCGGTTCTGTGGTCACCCTGCCACACGTGAGACTCAGTCTGGGAGCACACCCAGAAAGGCGGGGCACTGTGGGGAGCCCATGTGGGGAGGGGGCACAGCCAGGCTGAGTCAGGGCCGAGACTGTCTGCTCAGCTCCAGCTGCAGTGGGGACAGGAAGGTTGGGCCAGAGGCAGCAAGGCCCAGGTTCTCCAGTGCAGGATGCCCACAGCTTAGGCTTCGGGAGGTGGCCCTGAGGCCCTGGGCGAGGGTGAGGCCTGTCTCCATGTGCTGGGGAGGCGGACACAGGAGTGGCCAGGCGCTGACAGCAAAGCCCAGGTGGGAGGCAGGACTCTGGTCCTCCCCAGAGACTGCAGCCAGGCCCTGCCCACACCCACTGCTGCCCTCCCATAGGTTGTGCTGAACTACAACGGGACCTCCCAGGAGCTGGTGGCTGAGTCAGGCCGTGACTTACACTGGCCCCTGGGGTATCCTCCTCCTGACGTCCCTAAATGTGGCTTTGACAATGAGGACCCGGCCTGCCACCAAGGTGACTGCCCCATCCAGAGGAGCTGCTCCTCCCCCAGGGGAGTCCGGTGGCGGCTCTGCTCCCTTCTGAGGCTTTTGTGGAGGCAGCACCTCCTCCTGTTTCTTCCCTGCATCTGTCATCTCAGTTCACTGGCTATTAGAAGGGTCTCTCTCAAGCTAACCCACATCTTTCTTGCCGCGACTTGGACTCTCCCGCAGACCTCTTCTCCACTCTGGAGGTGCTGGCGGTGGTGGGAAGCCTCTCAGTGCTCAGCATCCTGATCGTCTCCATCTTTGTGTACAGGTGAGCTAGGCACAGGATGCCAGGGCAGCTGGGGACCCAGCAGGAGGTGGGGACAGGCTTGGGATACAGAGAGGGGCAGAGGTGGGGGTGGCCCGGGAGGTGGGGTGGTGCTAGAAAGAGCAGAGAAGTTGGGGTGACAGCCGCAGCGGAGGGTGGGGTCGGGTCTAGAACAGGCTCTCCCTGTGCCCCTGGAGGCCACATAGGAAGCAGTGGGTCAGACCTTAGGCCTGCCGGGTGCGAAGGCACGGGCCTGTCATCCAGCACTCTGGAAGGCTGAGGCAGAAAGACTGCGAATTGAAGCCCAGCCTGGGCAGTTGAGCAATGTAGACTCTTACCTCAAAATAAAAAGAAATTTTATTTTTGAGACAGGGTCTCACTATGAAGTTCAGGCTGGCCTTGGACTCACTGTGTAGCCCAGGCTGACGTCGAACTTGCAGTGAACCTCCTGCCTCAGCCTCCCGAGTGCTAGGGTTACAGGCCTGTGCCACCACACCTGTCACACACAATATTTCTTTTCATTCTTATAATAGGAATGAAATAGAGCCGGGCATGGTAGTACATGCTTGCAATCCCAGAGACTTGGAAGGTTTTTTTGTGTTTTTTTGGTACTGAGGCTCGAACTTGGGTCCTTGCGCTTTCGAGGCAGGCGGTGGCACCACTGAGCTAAATCCCCAGCCCATGGGAGTTCAAGGGAAGAGGATCACAAGTTTGAAACCAGCCTGGGCAACTTAGTGAGAGCCTGTCTCAAAATAAGATAAAAAGAGGCCGGGGATTTAGCTCAGTGGTGGAGGCCCTGGTTTCAATATCCAGTGCCTCAAGAGGGAGGGGACAGGAAGCGAAGGGCTTCCCACACTCCCTGTGCATCTGCGGGTTCTCTGGTCCCCCTACCACGTGGGGACCTGTGGGAGCCGAGGGTGAATCAGGGCCAGTCTGGGAGCACAGCCAGGATGACAGGGGCTCACAGGGACAGGCACAGGCACCACGGTGGCCAGGGAGGATGTGGAGCTGACTCCCAGGCCCCCAGTGAGGGAGCCGGACTCCCAGCCCAGGGGAGAGAGTCCACTCATCTTAGGGTCGGGTGTGGTCCTGGACCCTGAGGGCTCCTTAGCACCCCAAGGCTGGGCTCAGGCCTGAGCTCAGCTGCAGGCCCCATGTCCAGGAAGATGCAGCTGGAGAAGGAGCTGGCCTCGGAGCTGTGGCGGGTGCGCTGGGAGGACGTGCAGCCCAGCAGCATGGAGAAGCACCTCCGGAGCGCGGGCAGCCGGCTGACCCTCAGCGGGGTGAGCAGTGCCAGGGGACTGGCATGCCCAGGGCGGTGCCCACGTGTCGGGAGGGGCAGGGCGCCTCAGCCAGCCCCGCCTTCGCTGGCCAGCAGGGTGCAGTCCCTGGTGGAAGGCTGACAGCCCCAGCTCCAGAGCCGCTCTTCGGGTGCTTTCAGAGCCACAGGAGAAGCGTGACAGCACAGAGGCAAAGCGAGGAAATGAGCAGAGAGCCACGCGTGGAAGGCAGAGGAGGAGGCTACAAAGATGAGCCAGGCAGTAGAGAACCAGGGCGCTTGGGCCGTCTGGTGGCACCTGCCTGTCCTCTCAGCACCCTGGCTGAGGCTGAGGCAGGAGGGCTGCAAGTTCAAGCCTAGCTCCGGCAGTGTAGTGGCTCAGCAAGACCCTCCCTCTGAGCAGTGAACTTTGTGAGAGCCCTGGGTTCCATCCCCATTACCCCAAAGAAATAAGTAAATGGGAGACCAGAGCCGACACTTCTGGCTTCACTGGATTCAGAGGGCCCCGGCTGACCTTGCCCCCTGCTCTCCACCCTCCAGAGAGGCTCCAACTACGGCTCCCTGCTGACCACCGAGGGCCAGTTCCAGGTCTACGCCAAGACAGCGTACTACAAGGTGCGGCCCAGTGCTGGGTACCCAGGTGGAGCGCTCCGGGAGGGCTGCGGGAGTCGGAGGTGGGTCCCCGAGGCCGGGCAGCAGTGGTGCTCGGCTCAGTGGCGGTCCTGTTTGACTTTTGCAGTTTTCCTTTCTTCCTAGCACGTTTGTCCGCAGTGGCGACAGTCCTTGTGTGGAGCTGGCACCTGTGTGTGTGCATCCCAACCCTTTTCCATCCCTCCCTCCATTCTTTGGCCCCTTCCCGTTTGAAAAAGACCCTCCTGCTTTCTGCTTCCCACCTGCGTTTACATTTGGGTATTTCTTCCTCAGGGCAACCTCGTGGCTGTGAAACGCGTGAACCGGAAGCGCATCGAGCTGACGCGGAAAGTCCTGTTTGAACTGAAGCACGTATGTAGGGAGTGAGTGTGGCCTGGGGCAGGCCCCGGGGGGACACCGGGGTCTGGTTGAGGGGGGTCTGCAGGCTGGGGCAGGTCCCTGCGTGGTGCCCCGAGGGCTGGGTGGGCTGAAGAGAGCCTCCTGAGGCTGGAGGGCAGCCCGGTGAGGGGAGCTCGCTGCAGCCCTGGCGCTGCCCCTGCAGATGCGGGATGTGCAGAATGAGCACCTGACCAGGTTTGTAGGCGCCTGCACCGACCCCCCCAACATCTGCATCCTCACGGAGTACTGTCCTCGAGGGAGCCTGCAGGTGAGAGGGGCGGCCTGGGCTTCGTGAGGGAGCAGGAGGGGCGAAGGCACTGAAGTGAACCCGAAGTCCTGCCCTGCCCTGCCAGTTTGTGTCTGTGGGGGTCCAGCCTGACTCCCGCCCCGCAGGACATCCTGGAGAACGACAGCATCACCCTAGACTGGATGTTCCGTTACTCGCTCGCCAATGACATCGTCAAGGTGGGCCCAGAGGGGCCGTGGGCTGCAGTGGGAGGGCGGGCCGGGCTGCTTCTGCGAGGCCTCAGCTTAGGTTCCACTCTGCCTCCCGAATCCCCAGGGAATGCTGTTTCTGCACAGTGGGGCCATTTGCTCCCATGGGAGCCTCAAGTCTTCCAACTGCGTGGTGGACGGGCGCTTTGTGCTTAAGATCACTGACTACGGCTTGCAGAGCTTCCGAGACCCAGAGCCTGAGCAGGGACACAGCCTCTATGCCAGTGAGCACCCCTGGGCTTCTAGCCCTGCTGCCAGCACAGCCCAGGAGGGACACTGTATTCTGGCCTCCCCCGCCTGCGGCTCAATTCTCCTTGGTGAACAGGGAGGGGCCGGACCATGAGGCCTGGCAGCTCTTCTTGCTCGGCACCAGCACTAAGTGGGACAGCCAGACCTGCCTTCACCACATCTCCTTCAGTGCTCCCTAGCACTCCCCACTGGAGTCTTTCCCCAGCATTCTGACTTACTGTTGAAGGGTGTTACCTTCCCTTGCTAGGCTTTCCTTTCCCAGCAGGATGTACAGTGAGTCCCTTACCCCTCATCCCTGGGGCTCCTTGCCCGGTGACCCCAACCTCTGACCCACAGAAAAGCTGTGGACAGCCCCTGAGCTCCTGAGAATGGCTTCTCCCCCTGCCCGAGGCTCCCAGGCTGGAGATGTGTACAGCTTTGGCATCATCCTTCAGGAGATAGCCCTGAGGAGCGGGGTGTTTCACGTGGAAGGTTTGCATCTCAGCCCCAAAGGTGAGTGCACCACTCTGTTCCTAGCCCTGCCATAGTCCCCACCAGCCTGGCTGCAGGAGGGGTACTCCCGGAAGCACCCTACCCCTTCCTTCCCGGGGGGCTCAGCCACCAGCTTGGCCCACTGCTGCAGGGACCACCCTCCCTGCTCCCCACCCCTGCCCAGTCCGCCCCAGCCCGGTGTCTCCGTCTGCCTCCGGGCCCCCAGCCAAACCCACCCTTCAGCACCTCTCTTCCCACAACAGAGATCATTGAGCGTGTGACCCGGGGTGAGCAGCCCCCCTTCCGGCCCTCCCTGGCCCTGCAGAGCCACCTGGAGGAGCTGGGGCAGCTGATGCAGCGGTGTTGGGCTGAGGACCCACAGGAGCGGCCGCCCTTCCAGCAGATCCGCCTGACGCTGCGCAAGTCGAACAGGTCACTGCTGCTGGTCGCAGACCCCGACTCTGTCCACACTGCCACTGCCATGCCTGTCCCTGCAGCAGCAGACCCAGCCCACGCAGCCCGCTGTGAATACTGCACTGCCTGATCTTGCCATTCCCACGGCCCCAGGCCCCAGCACCCACCCCGCCTTCCCATAGCACCAGCACCCAGACCCTTCCTGCAGGCGGCCCTGTAGACTGCGTGGGGCTGTGCAGCCCTGGCCCGGGCCCCCTTCCAGGGCCTCCCGCGCTCCCTGCCGACTTTGTGTCCCTTCCCAGTGCGCCCCTTGCCTGGGACCTGGGTCCCCCGGACACAGGCCTGTGCTGCCCTCTTCCTGTCACCTCGCCCTCGCCTCCTTGTCATCCCCCCATCTCACGTGTGCTCAGCAAACAGACAAGACGGGGCTGTGACTGAAGCACCGGGCTTGACCCGGGGTCTCAGACCCGAGCACAGCCTGCATCCGGCCCCTTTCCTGCGTTGCGCTGAGCCCCGAGCCCCTCTGTGCCTGGTGGGCCCTCACGCCCATGCCACTGCAGGGAGCACAGCAGCAACATCCTGGACAACCTGCTGTCCCGCATGGAGCAGTACGCCAACAACCTGGAGGAGCTGGTGGAGGAGCGCACCCAGGCCTACCTGGAGGAGAAGCACAGGGCTGAGGCCCTGCTCTACCAGATCCTGCCGCAGTGAGTGCCGGCCCCGCCCTGCGGGGGCCCTGCAGGTGCAGCCTGGTCCTCATACCCTGCCCTGTGCACCTGCCCGCCCTCAGCTCAGTGGCCGAGCAGCTGAAGCGAGGGGAGACTGTCCAGGCGGAAGCCTTTGACAGCGTGACCATCTACTTCAGTGACATTGTGGGCTTCACCGCGCTGTCTGCGGAGAGCACGCCCATGCAGGTGAGCCAGGGCGCAGCCCCAGGGGCAGTCGGCTTGTGTCGCCTGGGCATCTGTCCCTCAGGCCCCACCCCAGGCGAGGGCCTCACTCCGTCCCTCTTGGCTTCTCCTGCCTTGCAGGTGGTGACCCTGCTCAATGACCTATACACTTGCTTTGATGCTGTCATCGACAACTTTGATGTCTACAAGGTCGGGGAAGCAGTAGGGATGGAAGGGGCAGACCCAAAGCACAGCCAGAGCCAGCAAAGGGCAAGGGCCAGGCAGAGAGACCAGGAATGTGGGCAGAGACGCCTCGGGGTGGGGTGAGGACACAGCAGGGTGGACGGGGCAGTGGACAGGCGGCACGGGAAGAGTCCCAGCCTCAGGCTGCCTCATTGGCCGCCCCACACCCAGGTGGAGACGATCGGCGACGCCTACATGGTGGTTTCGGGGCTCCCAGTCCGAAACGGGCGGCTCCACGCCCGAGAGGTGGCCCGCATGGCCCTGGCACTCCTGGAGGCCGTGCGCTCCTTCCACATCCGCCACCGGCCGCAGGAGCAGCTGCGCCTGCGCATCGGCATCCACACGGGTGAGGCCCGAGACCTGCGGGAGGAGGGCCCAGGCCGGCCTCTCCCGGGCGCCGGGCACCTGCGCTGCCCCCCCCCCGCTGAAGGTGGGCCGTGCCCACTTGCCCCCTAGGACCCGTGTGTGCTGGCGTGGTAGGCCTGAAGATGCCCCGCTACTGCCTCTTCGGAGACACGGTCAACACAGCCTCGAGAATGGAGTCTAATGGGGAAGGTAGGTGCCCTCCTGGAGGGAGGAGGGGCCGGCAGCGCGGCCAGGCCCTGTGCGTGGGCCTCCTGCTCTCCACCCGCTCCCTTAGCACAAGCCCCTCCACTCACAGTTACCTTGCAAGTTGCAAACACATTCCTGCCTGCAGAACACCATGACTGGCCCAGCCTCCCTAAGTGTGCTCTGAGCCCTGCCACCAGCTGAGGGTCAGAACCATCTAACAGCCTATTTCATTAAAAAACCATTGTGGAACATTTCACATACAAGCACAGATGAGTGTTTTGGTGACATGGTGGGAGGTGGAAATGAAACAATATCCAGAACAACGCCAGCAGCACAGTACACTCCAGAGGCCCAGTTGTTTCCCGGTGTGGCCCCCGCTGCCACAGGAGGGTGCTGACTGCCCATCACCAGCCCAGGGCACGATCAGGCCAGCCGTGCGGTTGGGATCAACCTGCTCACGCCTGTGTTCCCAGCACACTGGGAGACCAAAGCAGGTGGGTCGCAGATTCAAGCCTAGCCTAGCAATTTGGCAATTTAGTGACATTCTGTCTCAAAAGCATTTTTATTTTATTTATTTATTTACTTTTGGTACTGGGGATCAAACTCCGGTCCTTGTGCTTGCAAGGCAGGTGGCAGAACCACTGAGCTAAATCCCCGGCCCTCTAAAACCATTTTTAAAAGGGTGAGGGATGTAGCAGAGGCCCTGGTTTCCATCCTTAGTACTGCAAAAAAAAAAAAAAAAATCAAAATCAAGTCAGTTTTATGGCATCACTGTCACCACACACAGACAAAACCCCAGGTTGGACCACGGTAAGGCAGGGACCTTCTGCAGTTTGCCCCAGCACATCTGGCTCATCCGCACATCGTCCTGGATGCCGGGGACTGCACCCCCTCTTGCCGAAAGGCTTTCCCGTGTTTGCTGAGCAGTTCCAGGCAGGGGCCCCACACCCAGGGCCAGAGCCGGCTGTGGTGGGGGGGTCGGCAGCAGAGCTGGCCCGTCCCCTGCAGGCCTCAGGTCTCAGGCCACATAGCCAAGCACTCATCTCTGTCTCCTGGAGCCTTGGTGTTCCTCATCAGCAGACAAGAGTGAGACAGCTACCTCATAAAGGTGCTCAGGACCTAACAACTGGTAGCTGTCATTCACCTCTTGGAGTCTCAGCTCTTTGCCTTGTAGTGGCCATTATGAGGGTTGTAAAAAAACAGCACAGAGCTGGGCATGGTGCCACAGGCCTGCAATCCCTGCTCTCAGGAGGCTGAGGCGGGAGGATCACCAAGAGTTTGAGGCCAGCCTGAACTCCATAGTGAGAACCTGCCTCAAAAACCTCCCCCGCAAAAAACCTCGCATACAATAGATATCTAATCCGTGTTTTGACCTCTTCCGTGGCCTTGCTTCCCGTTGCTTGTCTATCCTCCTGTATTTCACCCCATTCAATTCAGTAAATACTTAATCTTTTTTTTCTTTTTTTTTTTTTGAGACAGTCTTGCTATGTAGCCCAGGCTGGCCTTGAACTCTTGGTGATCCTCCTGCCTCAGCCTCCTGAGTGCTGGGAGTACAGGCATGCACCACCACACCTGGCTTCAGTTCTGTAAATATTGACCAGTTGACCAGTTACTACATCTCAGGCCCAGAGTTAGCTGAGGAGCCCATGAGGACCCCACCCCAGGCTCCAGGAGAGAGGGGGTACTTTGGAGTGGGCCAGCGTGCAAGGGAGCTGGCTCAGCAGTGTCCTCTGGGCCTGTCTTGGGCCCGGGGTAGGAGAGCCTCCGCTGAGGTCCATTCCTCACATTCCTCTGGGAGCTCCTTCCCAGAAAAGGCTCAGCGACCAAAGGCTGGCCGTGCAGACCAGGAGCAAGGTCATGAGTGCAGCAGGAACCACGGAGGGCAAGGGGCCCTCGCTGGCTGCCCACCCCCCGCGGAGCTCAGCCACAAAGTGACTTCTAGCAGGAATAGCGGCAACAGCACAACTTCCTCTGCTCAGATACTTTGTGAATGTTTGTTTTGAAGCTCTGGTGATCAAATCCAGATAGTTGTTTTATTATCACCACTGCAGTGCTGGGGAATCAAACCCAGGGCAGACACTGTCACAGAAGCTACTTCTCTAGCCCAGGCGTTAAATTTAATCCTTAAAACAGTGCCAAAATAGGTGCTGTGGCCGTCAGCACTTCACAGATCAGGAAAATGAGCATTTTATATAACTTAGTGAAGCACATGGCCAAGCAGGGACCCATTCTGAGCCGCTGCCGCTGGGCTGGCTGCACCCTGGGGCAGGTTGACCCTCCACAGCGGGCAGTTCAGAAACACTCAGAGTCTGCTGTCCAACATCACAGCCTCTACTCACGTGTGACGATTACTTGAAATGTATCTAGTGCAACTCAGGCACTGAACTAGTTAATGTATTCCTTCCTTCCTCTTGTCTTGGTTTTTTTTTTGGAGACAGGGCCTTACCTCATAGTGCAGGATGGCCTTGCACTCGCTATGTAGCCCAGATTGGCCTTGAACTGAAAGCAGCCCTCCTACCTCAGCCTCCTGAGTGCTGAGAAACCTGTGCTTGGCACCATGCCTGGCTTAAGGCGCTGAGTTCGAGGTGTATAATTTTGACTGGGCACAGCATGTGTGGCTACCGGGTTGGATCGAAGCTCTCAAGTCCTAAAGGGTCGGCTGTGGTCACACATTCCATGGAGGAGGTGAGGGAGGGCCATGTGTCCACCCTCACAGTCCCTAGTCCCTTTACCCCGTGGCTCCTGTCCCAGGGCCCTCAGCTTCCTTCCCCGTCCCACCCAGCCCTGAAGATACACTTGTCTTCGGAGACCAAGGCTGTCCTGGAGGAGTTTGATGGTTTTGAGCTGGAGCTGAGAGGAGATGTAGAAATGAAGGTAGAAAGGGAGCGCTGGCCTCACCGCCCCCTGGGTCCGGGGGCGCCTTCCCAAGCCGCCCGCCCCGGGCACTCCCTCCCTAGCCTTTGCCTGCTTCTGGAAGCAGGGTGTGCTGCTCACATCCCAGCTTCCGCTTTCCCTTCCAGGGCAAAGGCAAGGTGCGAACCTACTGGCTCCTGGGGGAGCGGGGCAGCAGCACTCGGGGCTGACCGTCCGCCACCGCGGGGGGGTCGGCGAGGAGGAGCCCGCGGCTGGCCGGGCTCAGTGGAGGCACCAGGTGAGACCCGGGACGCCTGGCCTGGGGAGAACTCGTGCTCAGGACTGGCTGGAGCGCAGTCGCACCCTCGCCCACTGTGCCTGGGCCAGGCGGGCTGCAGACGTCTGATCCCCTCGCCCTTGCCACACTGACTTGTTACCCTCACGGGAATGTGAAGAGGAGACGTGGACTGCGGGCCAGGAAACCAGATCTGGCACTGCCCACGGGGGCCTCTGGCTCCGCCCCGTCGCCGCGAGGGCCGCCGCCCTGCCGTGAGCACCGCCCGCACCCTTGGCTGCTCTGGTGCGGACCTGCGGCTGGTGCCTCTTCCGGCGGCGGGGCGGACAGGGCCCTGCGTCCCACCTCCTGCTTCACAAAGCCGCCCGTCCGGAGTCCGGAAAGGGTCGCAGTCACTCAGCTCGGAGACCACCGCACAGCACCACGCGGAGCCCCAGAGAGCCCTTGGTGTGGCTCTACCCGTCCAATCGCTGTATTAGAAATTAAAACAACCGAAAGAAATCTTGATTAATTCATGTCCGATAACAGTGGTAAACCTATGACATGTCAATACTTCTCGCTGCTTCCGGGAGGACAGTCGATAGGCAGGAGCACAGGAGGCGGGTGAAGCACTTGGCAGGGCCTCTCCGGTGTCGCCAGCCACGAAGGCAGACGCGGAGTTGTCAGGGAGATCGCTCTCGCTCTGCCTCACCACCCTGGTGCCTCCGCAGGATCCAAGGGGCACACAGAGACCCCCCCCCCCTTCCCCAGGGGCTGGTGTTCACGAGACGGGGCAGCAGGGTCAGTGTGTCGGACCGGACAGAGGCCCGGGGCTGGGAACTGGAACATGAGCCCACGTAAACTCGGCTGAGGTTTGGGATTGCCCACCACGCCTCCGTCCCGTCAGGGTGGACGAATGGGTTGTTCGCCAACTGCCTCTGCCGGCCTCAGGACCCTTCTTTCCCTGCTACGGCCACCCAGCCCAGCCCTTCCTGGGCAGGCAGCAGGAATGCGGGGGAGAGGTGGCTGTGGCTTTGCCTCCCCCATGGGGAAGCAAAGTGCCAGACCTGTCTTCAGTACCATCCATCCATCGGGAGCCGGCAGCCCGGCCCTGACCTGCACCTCCTCCAGGAGTCCACGCCAAGTGGAGCGGACACACTGTGGGCTAGGGGGTGGGGAAAGGATACATTGTTTTCCTTCCTTCCAGGCTCTTCTGGATGCTGTGTGCTTCCTGTCCGCCCCTTGTGGCGGGCTGGGCTTGATTGATCAGGAGAGGGAGCTTGCGTGGTCACGTCCCTCTCACCGCCCAAGCCAAGGATGAAAACACTGGTGGCCTAAGGAAAGGTGGTTGCCCTGGCAACCACGGCAGACTCAACTTCCTGTGGGCCCTGGTGGCTAGGTTGACTTCCATGCCCCAGTTTTTCCTCCCAGGAGTAGTAGCCCCGAAAGAAGAGGGTTGTGTCAGAGCCGGAGGCCCTGACAAGTCAGCAGGATGGGGGCTGGGACGTGTGGAGGCCCTTGGCTTGGGGCAAGGAGGCTGTGGGAGGAGGCCGAGAACGTGGGTGGGGAGCCGGATGACTGAGGAGCTCCAGTGAGACAATTCTAGGAAACTGCCGGCCAGACCCTTCCGGGGCAGCCGGTTCCACTGGGCACTGGGAGGGGAGGGCCGGGAAGTGGGCCCAGGAGAGTCAGTTCTGCAGCTCAGAACGTTCACTGAACTGAGATTTCCTTCCGGAGGAAGGTCCCGCGGCCAGCAAGGACTGGAAAAGGCGGTGCTGAGCAGGGTAGGGGGCAGCAGCGACTGCCCGGAGCAGGGACCAGTGAGTGCCCGGAGCTTCTGCCTGCAGAGTCCCGGCTGACCTGCCTAGCAGGGTTGGGGCTCCTCGGAGTGTAAGTGACAACGGGCCCTGAGTGCCTCGCAGTAGACAAGGGCTCTCGCGTACATTATCTCATCGGCCACTGACTCTGGGGGCCCAGCTGAGGTCCAGCCGTGGGTGGGGACCCAGTGGAAACTGCACAGAGGGGAGCCAGGCCAACACCATCCCTCAAGGCCAGGACGTGGAAGAAACAGCCGAAGGAAGCAGACGGATATCCCCCCACCCCAGCCCTGTTTACGTCAAAGAGCTTGGGTAACTTATTTATCAAAGCAGTGCATTTAGTAATCTCTTAAAAAATGATTTATACCTTTCAGTATAAATCCATGGACTCTAATGAACAGCAGAGGCCAATTTTGCATCCTGAAAGTCATTTTTTAAAATTAAATTGCAGAAGCTATAAAATATTTTCAAATTAATTAACTATTAAAAATAATGCAGACTGGGGCCGAGGGTTTAGCTCAGTGGTTTCCCCGACTGCTGCGCAAGCGCAAGGACCTGAGTTCGATCCCCAGTACCAAAAAAAAAATAATAATAATGCAGGCTGTCTAAAGAGATTCCATCTCATTGGGTTGGAACGCGAGTAAGAGTCCAGGCAAAGTGTTTACCATCAGGACGAAGGATCGATCAGTCAGGGTGCTGGTGAATTTGGTGCTGCAGAAAGCAGAGAGGAAGCCCGGGTAGTGGCGCACACCTGCAATCCCAGCTACTCAGCAGGCTGAGGCAGGAGGGTTGAAAGTCAGCCTTTCTGCACAGCTTAGTGACTTGGTGAGACTCTTTCACAATTTAAAAAGGGAAGCTGAGCGTGGTGGCGCATGCCTGTCATCCCACTCTTGGGAGGCTGAGGCAGGAGGACTGCCACAAGTTCAAGGCCAGCTAGGATTACATAGTGATTGAGTGAGGGAAGTAGGTCACTAGCAGTGACCCTGGGTTCGAACCCCAGCATGCAAAACAAAACAAAACATAGCCCAGACATGGTGGCCCACACTGTAATCCCAGCACTCGGTAGGCTGAAGCAGGATGATCTCACGAGTTCGAGGCCAGCCTGAACTATATAATGAGACCCCGTCTCCAAAAAAAAAAAAAAAAAAGATGTGGGCTATCACACTCGATTGTCATGGGAAGCAATATTAATGTACCATAAGGTGAAAAGTGAGGAAAATCCTACCTATGATAAAAATTACAGACAGATATATGGATAAAAGATGACTATAGAGTCATTTCCCAGATCTGTCAGTCTATTTATTGGGTATTTTTTATTTTTTTCTTTTAAAAAATATCTTTAAGTATAAATAGAGTTGGGGTATAGCTCGATGGCAGAATACTTCCCTAGCATGCTTGAGAACCTGGTTTTGTCCCTAACTGGACTGGGGGGGGGTATGTAGAAATATGTTAGTTTTAAATATATTTTAATTGACACAGTAATTGTACGTATTTATGGGGTACAGTGTGATATTTTAACACTTGCACATACAAGGTGCAATGGTCAGATCAGGGTAATTGGTATATCTGTCACCTCAGACATTTAATATTTGATGATGAGAACATTCAAAATCTCTGCTCTTCTGACACATTCAATTAATTGTTATTAACCATGTTTAGCCTACTGCGCTATAGAACATTGTTCTTCCTACCCAACTGACTCGTGTATCTGTGAACCCTCACTTCCCATTCCCTCCTCCCTTATACCTTTCTCTAGCTCTAGCAACCACTTTTTTCTCCTTTTTTGTTTGTTTGTTTTTTGAGACAGAGTCTCTAGTTCAGGCTGGTCTTGAACTCACCCAGATCCTCCTGTCTCAGCCTCCTGAATGCTGGGATTACAACTGCGCCACCACATCTGGTTTAAGCAACCATTTTTCTATTCTCCGCTTCTATGAAGTCAGCGTTTTAGCTTCCATGCATCAGTGAAAGCATGCAGTATTTGTCTTTCTGTGCCTGACTTCTTTCACTTAACAGTGCCCTCCAGTTCCGTCCATGTTGCTGCAAATGACAGAATTGTGTTCTTTCTGTTGCTGACTAGTACTCTGTTCTGTGTGTGTGTGTGTGTGTGTGTGTGTGTGTGTGTGTGTGTGTGTGTGTGTTTCAAGCACACTTTGTTTGTCTGGAGACAGGGTCTTGCTAGGTAGTCCAGGCTGGCCTTGAGCTTGCCTCAGTCTCACAAATGCTGGGATTACAAGCATGTGCCACCATGCCCAGCTTCAAGCACTTTTTATCCATTTCTCTGTAGAAGGCCACTTAGGTTGATTCCATATCTTGGCTGTCATGAATAGTGCTGCAATAAACATTCAAGCACCAATATTTCTTCAGCATACTAATTCTATTTCCTGTAGGTACATACCCAGTAACAGAGTTTCTGGATCATATGACAGCTCTATTTCTAGTTAGTTAATTAGGTTATTTTCTGAGACAATGTAGTTCAAGATGTAGTTGGAGATGGCCTCAAACTCACTGTGTATCCCAGGCTGGTGTTGAATTCACAGAGATCCTCCTGCCTCAGCCTCCTCAGGGCTGGGATTACAGGAGTACACCACCATGCCCAGTTTATTTCTAGTATTCTGAGAAACCTCTACACTATTTTCAATAATAGCTGTACTAATTTACATTCGTACAGAGTATGAATTTCCCTCTCTCCCCATTCTTGGCAGCATTTTGGGGAGTCTTTGATAAGAGCAGTGTCACTGAGGTGAGGTGGCATCTCACTGGGGCTCTGGTTGATCTGGGTTTCCCTGATGATCAGCAATGAAGGGCACTTTTTCCGCTCTCTCTCTCTCTCTCTCTCTCTCTCTGTGGTCCTGCAGATGTTCCCATAGTAATCTCTTGCCAGACAGACAGTTTGGAAATAATTCCTCCTATTCTCTAGGTTATCTCTTCAGTCTTTGCATGTTTCCTTTGCTAGCAGAACCTTCTGAGTTGATATAATCCTAATCCTATTTATCAATTTTTGCTTTTGGTGCCTGTGCTTTTGGGATCATACCCAGTGAAAGTTTTGGCCAGATTAATGTCTCAAAGCATTTTCTCTAGTAGTTTAATAATTTCAGATCTTATACTTAAGGCTTTAATGCATTTTGATTTGGTATTTGTAAATGGTGAGCGATAGGGGTCTAGTATCATTTTTCTGCACGTGGTATCATTTTCTCAGTAGCATTTATTAAGGAGACTTTCCTTTCTCCAATGTATGTTTTTGGTCCCTTTATGGAAAACCAGTTGGCTGTGAATATTTGGATTTATTTCCAGATTCTCCATTCCATTTCATTGGTCTAAGTGTCAGTACCATCTTTTTTCTGTTTTTAAAGACAGGGTCTCACTATATAGTCTAGGCTGGCCTTGAACTCACTATGTAGCCCAGCCTGGCCTCGAACTCACAGTGATGCTCCTGCCTTAGCCTCCCAAGAGCTAGGATTGTAAGCACGCACCACCACACCTGCCCACCATACTTTTTAAAATTTTTAAAAATTTTATTTGTACATATTTGTAGTTGATGTTGTTTACAATTTATCTTGGAGAATGGCTACATGTACATAGTACAGCATGCTTTATTTATTTATTTTCAGTAGCAGGAATCGAACTCAGGACCTTGCGGTTCCCAGGTAGGTATGACACCACCGAGCTATACCATGGCTCTCTTCTTTTTATCATTTTTTTTTTTCAGTACCAGGGA